ACAAACACAAGAGGCCTCTGTCATTCGGGGTTCCGTCCCAGTCCTTGTAGAGTAGATATTCCCCTGACCGACTCGCGGCTGGCCCCAATCGGAGCACAAGGCGCTCTCCTGACATTTCAGATTACAACCCTACGGGCGCAGGTCCTTACCATGACCTAGAGTCAGCCCTTCGAGCCTTTCAGCCTTCCAATCGGGCCCTTGATTTGTGGTCTAGAGAGACCCTTCGGCCCCTCCTTGGGCCCCCTCAAACACCGCTCCTGGCCGACTCCGGGTCACTTGCCGCTTCAGAGCCCCTGTTAGGCACTGTAACCCCATGACCAAAGCAGGAGCCCCTATTGTGTCAGGGACCTCAAACATTGCAAATCGCAGGCACCGGCCTGGTTCCTGCTTGGAAAATGCGTATCAAGGGATCAGGCAGACATGGAGCCAAATGCTTGGCTCCGTGTCAAGGCCCTATTCAATGAAATAGACAACCCTATAAGGGTGGCCATGATAGAGTCCCTTCAACGGACATTTCAGATCACGGCATTGTGGATGGGGGGGGGGGGGGGGGAGGGGCGAGCCCCAATCCAGTAAGACCCTTGGTGTTTGTCGCGGGGCCCTTCGGTCCCTCTTTGGACTTTCTCAAAGAAAGCCCGTGACCGATTAGGGGCCATCAGCCGACACATAACCCCTTGTTAAGCACTGTGGGACCTGACCGACACAGAGGCCCCAACTATTGTTTCAGGGACCCAGACCAACGCAAATCGTGGTCCCTGCCTTGCTTCTGCTTGGGAAATGGGCCCCCCCAGGGTTCAGACTGATAGGAATCCAACTGTTCGGCGTTGGTGGTCTCTGTCCGACTTGGACAACCGCATTGTCTCAGGGGGTTCTCAAACGGGGCAAGGAGACCTCTGACTGGCATTGCACCCCACGATCCCACCGGCTACGATTCTTTATGTGACCTACAGCCAGTCCCTCAGGCCATTGTGTCCTCCAATCGGGCCTTTGATTGTCGGGTCTGATGACCCACCTGGACCTCCCTCGAGCCTCATCGAATACTGTCCGTGGTAAGTTAGGGACCCTGTGCTAGCACAGGACCCTCTGTTTTATGGCCTGTGGGCTCCTGGCAGGTACAGGGGTCCGGCCAGTGTAAATCACTGGCCCTTTGACTGATTGGGAAGTGTGCCCTCGGGTTCATACTGATACGCAGCCGACTGTGCGGTGCTGGTGGTGTTTGACCGACACATAGGCGTACATCGACTAAAGGGGTCCCCGATCGACGCAAAAGGCCCATGCCTCCCCTTTGGTTCAGATAGGCTCTTAGGGCTCCTTGGGGCCGACGATCAAGGGCCCGACTAGGGGGCCCGAAGAGCTTGCCAGAGACTATATCAAGGGACCACGACCCGCAAATGTTCATCAGAGGACCTCTTACGCCAATTGGGGGTCCCTGGGGGCAATGAAGGCCCACCAGTCGATCCGCGGCCACAAATTTCGAACAGTCGTCCGTGTCGGCCAGGGCCCATTTCGAAGGCCGGAACCATCCTTAGCCCCATGATTGTCAGCAAGAGGACCCTTGCATCGGTCGGGGTCCCCGAGGCAACGAGGGGCCGCTGTGTTGGTCAAGGGACCGTAGTACGCCGAACATTGGACCTTATGTCGCCAGGGGCGCCGAGTCAGTCATGGTTCGTTTTCTGAATCGGGATAGGAACGTAATCCCAAATGTCAGGGAGCCTCTTAAGCCGAATGAGCCCGCTTACAATGGAAATAGATATGACAGTGAAAGGGCCCATAATGATGCAGTGAAAGGTCCCTGTGTCAGACACGGGTCTAGTAACGACCGTGGCCGCGCATCTTCATCCCATTTCGGTCGGGCGCCCGATAAAGGGAATTGTAGTCATCTGCCAATTATTGGACCCCTGTGTCGGTAAGCGAGCCTTTGGCATCAATGACGCCCCGTGCGTCGTTCCGGGATCATCATCTGCGGACTGAGGGCCTGCCGCATCAGGGAGGGGACCAATTCATGATGCATCCCCCTGCGGCCCGAGTCTCCGGAAAAGAAGCCGGCAAGTATCCCGGGTGGCGAGTTGGAACGGAAATCCCTTCAACCCCTGACCGGGAAGGGCAATGGGGCCCCCTAATGTTCCACCGGAGGGGCTCCCTGTCCACGAAAGGTAAGGGGTTCCTTTAGTGTTCAATTCACTAGGCCCCTCAACGAACGCACTTGTCTGCATCATGACTACGAATGAAGAAAGCTGGGACACCCGTCGAAATAAAATGGCTCAAATCCGGTGATTTTTCGGGGTGCCTTTCCGCCGGGAATCCTTCATCAAGCTGCCTGCCGCTCCCATCCCTTCTAACAAAAGCTTTGGCTTCTGCTCTGGTATAAGAGGGGATTTGTGGGATCTGAAATACGCCCTTTCTGAGCTTAAGCGTTTAAATGGACCTTTTCCGGACCTGAGATGTCGACTTTCTAAATCTAACATGTGTCATTTCATGATTTAAGAAGGGCCCTACTTGCGTATACGAGGGCGCTTTCCAGACCTGAGAGGGCCCTTTCCGTACTCGCAATGAGCCTCACCCAGACCCGAGACGGACCTGTCATGAGTGTGCGACGGGCCTGTTCTGATTGAGACGGGCCCTTTTAAGTCTGCAATGGCCCGTTTCAAACCATAAAAGGGCCTTACCCTTGCGTGCAACCATTATAGGGGTTTCCTGCTTTGAAATTGACCATTTCCGGCCTTGATATGGGCTCTCTACGATTTCTTTGATGGCACACGATAAACGAACTTCTCCCACAAATCCACCAAGGGCCCCATTTAGGCCACCTGAAATCTGGGGAAAACATAGTTTTGGCCCTCTTTTCACACATGGGGGACAGTTTACGACAAAGACACACCGCAACTGACTTTCTGAATCTGCGATGGGCCCATTCCAGACCAGAGATGAGCCCTTCTCAGCCCCAGAAAGTGAGATCGGCCCTTTCCGGGCCTAACTTTCCCCTATTCTCAGCCTATACTGGGTTCCTGCTTGCCTCGAGACCAGCCATTTCTGAGTTTACGATGGACCCGTTCCAAACTTGAAAGGTTCCTCTCTGAGCCTACGACGGGGCTTTTCCCGACCTAAGACGAACCCTTTTTTAAGCTCACTATGAGCCCTTTCCAGACAAGAAAGGGGCCCCACCGTACCTGGAAGTGGCATGAGTATCTTCCCGCCTTGAAATGGGCCATTTACAGCCTAAGACGGGCCCTTCGCGGACACGAAACGATTCTTTTCTGAGTTAAGATGGGCCGTTTCCGGACCACACATGGACGCTAAAAGCCTGCTTCGGTAACATAACAAGCACGTGCTACCACGTACCCGAAGATCCCTTCTGGGCCACTTGAAATTATGGGGAAGGGGGGGGGAGTTAAAAAGATACTTTTGCTGCGCCTCAAAAGGTGGGGGCAAGTTGTTCATGCTGCCCCCCCCCCTACAGATACGCCGCCACTGATTGCTGAGAACTCCAACCAGCATGAGGGGGGGGGGACTCAGGCTCCCAAAAGTATAACAAGTGACGTCCCTGGGTGCGGCACACTACGGATGATATCTACATACTTCTGAGAAAACCAGCGCTGCATCGATCCGGCTCCACTCCATTCTGTTCGGTTTGTTTCGGTTTGCTTCGGTTTGTTTCGGTTGGTTTCGGTTGGTTTTGGTTCAGTTCGGTCCGGTCCGTCGGTCCGGTCCGGTCCGGTCCGGTCCGGTCCGGTCCGGTTCGGTTTAGTTCGGTTCGGTTCGGTTCGGCTCGGCTCGGCTCGGCTCGGCTCGGCTCGGCTCGGCTCGGCTCGGTTTGGTTCGGTTCGGTTCGGTTCGGTTCGGTTAGGGTCGGTTCGGCTCGGCTCGGTTCGGTTTGGTTTGGTTTGGTTTGGTTTGGTTCGGTTCGGTTCGGTTCGGTTCGGTTCGGTTCGGTTCGGTTCGGTTCGGTTCGGTTCGGTTCGGTTCGGTTCGGTTCGGTTCGGTTCGGTTCGGTTCGGTGCGGTGCGGTGCGGTGCGGTGCGGTGCGGTGCGGTGCGGTGCGGTGCGGTGCGGCGCGGTGCGGTGCGGTTCGGTTCGGTTCGGTTTGGTTCGGTTCGGTTCGGTGCGGTTTGGCTCGGTTCGGTTCGGGTTGATTTGGTTCGGATCGGTTCAGTTCGGTTCGGTTCGGTTCGGTTTGATTCGATTCGATGGGATTCCGTTCGGTGCGGTGTGGTTCGGTTCGTTTTCGCTCGACTCGGCCCTGTTGTGTTCGTCTCTGCTCGGCTCGGCTCGACTGTTCCGTGCCATTCTGTCCCACACCGTACCTGCCTTGCCGTGGCGTGCTGTGCCGTTTCGGTTCGGTCCGATTTGGTCCGGTTCTGACCGCTCCGGTCCGGCCCGGTCTGGCAGGGCCTGGGCCGGTCTGTTCCTTTCATGGACGGTTATTTTTCCTCTCCATCACTGCCAAGTCTGCGATTCTCCCAGTCCAGTCGAGTTGTACCCTGCTCGCGCATTCCCCTGCTCTCTGCCCCCGGTCTGTGAACGCTGCTCTGGTCATGCAGCGCACTGATCTATTTGGCCGGGCTTTTACTGCCCGGTCATGCTCCGGATGGCCTGCGTCCGTTTTCGTTGCATGTCAGGCCGGGTTATGATGGCATGCCAGTGACCTTGGTCATGGTGCTCAGGAATCCACCCTCAAAAAAGAAAGGCTATGTTACATGCGTAGCGTGGAGCTCCACAGACCACAGCAGGTGTGCCCATGCACTACCTGCTCTTTTATCCACAGCACCCAAAAATCACGTCCTGTCCGATCGCACCCCATACCACTGCCATCTGTTGACGTCTATTAACATGAATATAGTTTCATGTTTACTGCCCTATTCAGATGAACAGGTTTGTTTATATGTGAAAAAATGGTTCCTTTGCGCAGTGAAGTTTGTCGTGACTTTTCAAAAGGAAAAACACTATGCACTTAAACCGGAAATATTCGTCGTGATCGATATATGTAGTAAGCATCCGCAACAGTGAGAAGGATTACGGCCGCAAAGTGGCTCCGCGCGAATAGTACTTATACGTTCTACGTAAATCTGCATGCAAGTGGCACTGAATGTATCGCTTCAGAGCAGTGCTATTTTTCAGACCATTTGTGATATAGCTTCTTGGGTCATCGAAACGTAAGTGCGCGTTGTCAGATCCTAGTTCTGCCGCGTTGTTTGTGCGCCGCAAATGTATTGTCGAGCCGCTCATTCCCGTTGTCTACAAAATTGACGAATATTATGGGAGGAAAACGGCTTAATTTTTGTGTTACGTGCAGATAGTGCTTTTATAAGTCTCCACTAGGGTAAGTTTGACACAAATAAATAGTTGGTGGCATTCCATCTTAAGTTGTTAATACGCAAGGTTCCAGGAGGGCTATGGGGCACTGTATTCAATAAGTCAATTTGTTGTTGGATTCACTCATTTGTGATCAGTTGAGGTAAACAGTAAGCCTTATTGCTTGGGGGCTTTCTAGCACGAATAATCCTTTAATTTCTCTCAATTTAAGAAGTGTGAAGTATGACACCTCATGGGACAAAGGGTACTAAGTTAGTGTTGCTCCAGTTTGGGCCAAGGGGTGGTGTGATGCCTTAAGAGCTTTGTGTGATGGTTATCAAACTTCCAAAATCTGGTCTGTCAAATTGTTCCATGATAAATTATGATATCACAATGATGTAAAGCTTCAACAGGATCAACTGTCTATAAATCTGCTGAATCAGTGACCCTGGATACATGGACATATTAGAATGCTCTTTATCTTGGCAGGTGATTCCCATTGATGATGCTCTGTTAGTCTGGATGGTGTACACCTGATTGAGGAATATATCATGTCAGGTGATTCCTGTTGATGCTCTGCTAGTCTGGATGGTGTGCACCTGATGGAGGAACAATGTGATATGAGATGCATGTTTTGAAAGTAACATGCCTATAGCCTCAAATGTATGTTGGGTATATTATGTCAAGTTTCATAGTTTCATAACAAGAATAGCAAAATAATCAGATATAACAATACTGATTATACTATTTTATATAAACTAAGCATGTGGTGCACATTGGTTATTTAGTTGACTTAAACCTATACTTACCCATAGATGTTTGCTGGGTACTGAAGGAAAATTTTAACATGCTGTTTGGAAAAAGGGTATTTTCCAGTGTCTGACATTTTCCAGCTCATCAAGATCCAGATGTTCATGTTATGTAAGGTACAAAAACAGTTGATTGTTTTGGTTGTGATACCTCACTATCTTTGTTATGCTCAGCTGTGCCAGGAACAATTTAACAGTGTTAAGCACATGCTTTAAAAATCACAGATGCCCTCAGACTTCAAGCATGTGCTGGGTACATTATAGCAGGTGTTTACAGTTTCACATCAGCAATAATCAAGCTCTTCTGCTCTCATTAGTGCTAGTTATGCCTCCAGTACATATTGTATGTGGTGCTTGGATAGCAATTTTTCCATTGACTAGTACTTTAGGCTCCTTATATTAAAACATTCACAGATATCCTTTTCTGTCAGGCTTGGAACCACCATGGGATAATGAAATGTGTGTGTCCATGATCTAAAGCATATGCCATCAGATAATTATGCATATAAATCAGCAATGTATGAACATTGTCAGTGGTGCATCAGAAACAGAGGGACAAAGCTCTTTAGTAAGGTTAGAGCAGCTAAAGGTTCCTCAGCACTTGGGGCCAGGAATAACTAAATCACCAAACAGCATTGCTATGAAAGGCATTGGAGACATGTCACCATTAGCTGTACAACTTCCCTTTAGATAAGCCCAATTTGAACACTTTGTAATTGAGAGGAACATGTTAAAGTTGCTATCATGGTAAAGCATTCTCTCATGCCATCCATGTTGAACAGTGGTATGATGCCTGAGTGAATGTGACATGGAATCAGCCTTTCTTGCAGAGCAGCTTACTTGACTCCTTTCAAAAGCTAAAAAAATACCTTATTGTTTATTCCTAGGATGACATTTAAGTATTAAGAGAGCATGCATCCAGGTAACATATAAAGACGTCTCTATAACTACAGGTGTGTGGACAACATCACGTCATGTTGAGCAATACCTTGCAGGGCAAACAATCAGAAACATGCTGATCAACATATCAAAATGTGGAGGCTGGCTTGAGAGTTACCTCTGGTCGAGTGGGGCTTGCACCAATTCCTATTACACTTTATTTGCAACCAAAGTCATGCCTTTCACAGTGATGGTATGCATCATATCTGAGAGCTGGAAGTAAACATTATGATATAATATTGAAAACCATGAGCTTCTGTTTTTATGTTGTATTATGAGTTAGGGTTCTGCTGACACTTCTTGACCATCATTTCACTATGAGGTACTGGTTTAAACATTGTCATTAAGCAAACACTGGCTATATTGTCAATGCTTGATGTTTCAAGGCATGCCTTTTATCACAAGATCTGGTCAGAGGAAGAGATTGTGTCTGACATTGCTGGAAGCCAACTGCATCACAGAAATAATATTGTACTCCCTTAGATATGATGCAGATGCAATTATGACTTAACAGATCATATATCTTGGTGCCTGAGGTGTGTCACAACACCAGACATGGTGATTCTAGGATTTGTTCCTGATACTGTTGATTAACTGGTGTGTTGATGATACAACACTATTTATTGCCTGCACAATGAAGGAATGCTCCTGATTCATGCTTGGGAGCTGTTGCTGTGACCAGATGAAACAGTAATGCATTTTGTGCACACCCATGGTTGTGTATGTGCCATTCTGTTGTATAAAGGATATTGACATGTGGGTTGACTTGATCATGCATGTTCCTAAAAGCATAACATCACAAGTCATGGTTTTCTCAATGGTGCTTTGCTTCTCATGTCAGTTCACAGTAATTGTACTGACTACAAGCAACAAGAGTGAAAAAGCTGTAAGAACAGAAAGTGCTTTAACTTCAGTCTGTCTCTCAGGTAGCCTGTGGTGTTCATACATCAAGAGGTGTCAGCTATAACCCAAACCAGAACTCAACAGCATTGTTTCACCTAGTGACACCCAGCAAATATGGTGGCCACTAAGAGCTGCTTAGAGTTTTGCTGGTTGCACTCTATGGATTTTGATGCAGACCAAAACCAAACTGACACTGACTGCCCTGAATTACCTGCATACCCCTAATTACCTCAGGAGAGGTGTGGATACAGGAGTGCTATAGCCAGTCAGGTGGCATTTGCTCCCCAGTCCCTGATAATGGTCCCATCCGATTGCGCTGGGAGGACTGCAATAAAGTGCCAGCAGTTTGTGGTTCTCACCATGTGATAATAATGGTCCTGAATGCCATGATTTGAGGTGATGCCAGTAATGGCAGTTGCCATGATTTCCTTCATATTTTTTTAATTTTTGCATAGTACATCTCCTTACTCCGATTGGCTGTGAACTATCCAGCTCTGGGGTCTATTCTGTGTGGGGTGATGCCTGCATCCTAGTCATGATACAATGCAGTGCATTCTGCCAGTTGTACTCATCAATAATTAAGAAAAGTTAGCATTCCTGACACAGATTGAAAGGTCCTGTTGCTCAGTTCGGTTATCAAGTCGTGACAAAGATGTGTCAAATGTGAATGGAGGTTTCCTTGGAATGTACCTGGATACCAGGTGGGGAATTTTGTTGGTGGGAGCATGCTGTTGTGCCACAACACCATGCAATCAGGTGTCTCAGTTAACAGCGATTTCAGCCAGTCTCCTTGTGTCCTCAGTCTTGCAGTCTCTTGTCAGTACCTTGTTTTTGTTGAGGTGTTTGGAATGACATTGGTGTACTAGGTAACAGGTAATAGTAGCCAAAGAACAACCAGGTAGCTGTACCACAGTTTTCTGGTGGTCATTGAATTATTAATTTCATCTTGTGCCCTGGAAGTTTTTGCAGAACTGGAGAGCTATCTGCCTGGTGTGGCAACTGCTAAGGTCTGCTAGTGCTGCTGTTGGGTTATCACCATTATCATACTCATGCTCTATTTGGCAAACATGGTTGTCACCAGTCACAATGTGAACATGTGGTTGGGCTTGAGACATGCTGGACCTGCTACTTAAGATCTGCCACATCTAAGCCGCCCGTCCTTCCTCGTACAGTAGTGCCGCCGTGCGCGGCAACTGTGCTGGTTAGGACTGCTGCCTGGGACACGACCGTCGATTCTGCTACGGGGTACGCATGCAGATGGAACTGTCCAGCAGCGGACATAGCGCTAGAGTTGTTTGCGCTCCTCTATAGTACCGATGTTTGGTGGAAAGTGTTCACTGTCCACCGCAAAACTCACCGGCGAGAAGCCGGCCAGCTTTTTGTGTGCGAAATGAACCGATTTCGATATTGCAGGCATTTGCCACTTCGAGTAATGTCCAGTGAGTTCTCAACCTGTGGAATCCCTTTTGGTGACTGAAGCTACTCATCAGAGGCATTGAACATGGTAGCAAACACAGCACGAGTCCAGCCCGGACGACCGTCGTGGTGCCACTGCAGATGACTTATTATTTTAAAGCTTTGGCAGATGGGTGTCTGGTAGTCTTCGACGTCCGTTTCCTGACCCTTAGAGGCTCTGATTGATTGTGCTTGAAACAGACTCAGGTCAGAGTGCTGGATTTGACGTGATATTTTACTGCGGAGGCGTTTGCGACTTTGCACTCAGCTGCTGAGGCTTTTTGTCGTTGTCCGCCTCTCACCCGGGCAGAGAGGGCGGGCAAGACTGAGGAGGTACTCCCTAGACGATGCTGTGGACCTGGGAAAACTTGCTTTCTTTTACATTGCATATCATGTTTTCATCGCTGAACTGGACCCAGGCTGGTTTCCAGAATGCTTATCGTGGATTAGATGCGCCTTTTGGCTGCGGTTTATAGTCCCATATGGTCCCGTGGATGGCGTGATTCCCACTAGGGTCCTGACGTTTCCTGGTAGTCTCCATAAAAGCACCAGGCTGAATGAAGCAGTGACATTGACATTCTTCCATATGGTATCAGATTCCACATTCTTGGCGTGCGTCGGCGTCCATCGTTGCAGTGTTGTGTAAAGTGTCGTTGGCTGGAGGCTTGAGTGTTGTGTGAAGCAGCGACGCAGGCTGTCTTTGATTTATAACTCCGACTAGCCGCTTTCGGGCCGTTGTCACTTCCCGAATGGTTTGCCGGACTGGTTTTGTTTTCATTTTCATCACCAACATGACGTCAGATAAAACATCGGGTGATTTACTCATGGTTGTGCGTTCTAGGCCTGTGCTTGGATTGGTTTCATGATCTTTCACGTGGCGTGTGCGCAAACTGAGCTATTGCTGTTTTGATACATTATTGAACCAATTGGTGCATTAAAGGGTATTCAAAATGCGCCAGAGCAGAGGTCGTTGCCTGAGCTGCTGCGCTGGTCCTCTGCAAAATGTAGCTGGGTTGAGACAGCCTGTGTGTATGTGCTTTATTTTCGCACTTTTGGCACATTGACATATTGCTTTGGTGTGCTGTGTTCCGCACTGGCGTGGCGTGGAAGGTCGTCGATATACCCCAGTTTACGAATTTTATGTTGTATTACTCCATCAAATAGCCGTAAGTTCCGTGACTCACCATAGTGTGCGTTTCGTTGGGATGGTTTAAGAAGTCATTTTTATTTTTGTCCTGTTGAATTAATGTGAACTAAGTTCATAGACACATGTCACATAACATCATATAGTATTACCCGCGATTGGTGACCATTCTCCTTTCAAGACCGTGGTGGGAGACAGAAAATGCTCGTGCGGACCTAACGCCGGCATGCCGATGGTAGACCTGGGGTGGTGCTGCAGCCGGGGATGCTTGAATGCTCTCTGCGGTGCTGTGAGAATAGAAACTTGCGATTAGTGCTTCTCACTTCAGAGCAAACGATTTACGAGTATATTTGCGAATCCGGTACGGAAATACGACAAGCTTGGCTTCTGCGATTTGTGAATGCAACGGCAAGGCCACGTGAAAAATTCGTGTCCAGACGCACAGTGTTGGAAATTCCAAAAATTGTCCTGGTAGCGGAGTACAAATTTCCTATAGTGAAGTACAAAATTATCCAAGTGATTGGGTCATTATAGCTTTATTTAGGTTATCTTTGAGAGAAAATAGTACAATGGGTGGCACTCAACAAAAGCGCCACTTTTCATACACAGCAATTCATGTAAAAACACTTCAAATGAAAGGAAACATCAGTATTGAACATGGCACACTGAAACAACACAGTTTCATACTCTGTACTATGAAACACGTGGGCATATACATTGGTTTTTTCAATTTATGAAAGGCTCTGTGTATACACCCTCTAAAACGGAAGGTTTTTACGCATCGGGCTTATACACTCTCCAAAATGGAGGGTGACTGCACACCGGGCTTACGCACCCTCCAAAATGGAGGGTGGGTACGATACGCACAGCCAGACAAAAATGGTACACAAAAAAATGCAAACGAACATGCCATAGACGGCCACCTACTCATGCTTCACCACGATCACGCTACTCACGCTCCACGACGGTCACGCTTCTTACGCTTCACCAGCTAACTGGTTTTAAGAGCATCTAAACGGCGCAAAATGACCCTAGAAGTCGACGCGCCCTGAAACTCCAATCATCATCAAGAACATCTAAACATTCACGCCATCCACCTTCCCACTCCCGGTCAACACACAAGGCCCTGCACGTCCCACCCGAACAATAGAGACAGGCAGCACTCTTAACCAATTTACCGAGCCAGCACAAGTACAATGCCTGACAGACCCGTGTAGGCCGGCCAAAAGTGATCGGAGTCAGTCACTCCGCTGACTCCAGTGGATAATGCAAGGTATCAATGGATTTTGATGCGCTTTAACCGATATCATTGGGAAATGTGATAATTTATTTTGCAATTAATTGATGTTTTTAGCCTAATAAACCCTTCTCCTTAATTTGCAGGGCCAAAGTTATGGGCTCATGTTACCCTGGTGTCCTGGTGTTTTTGCCGGAGTGAGATAGCTGTCTCCGAACAGTTTTTTTGTCATTTATAGCAACGTTTTTCGACTTCAAGGGTATTTTTGTAAAGCCTGAATTACTAACTTTTATTTCATATCCTTAAGTGATAAAGTTAACTTGGTTTAAATCCACAGCTGCCGTAACATCTTTGTACTCCGGATACCAGCAAGTGGCCAAAAATCCAACCACATGGCGGTTCTGGATGAGTACAAATAAGTCCTTCTTCATAATCGTGATGCTCATCTCTATACAGCTTTCCTCCAAATGTTTACAAGTTTATTGAAGGCATGAGCGCGAGCAGAATATTTATGCTCTTGACAAATCAGTCACGAGGAGGCGACTCATTAAAACCAACTGGAGAGTTTTGTTATGTTCAACCTCCAACCTGAGCTGGGAGGCGGCCGCAAACCGCTGAATAGTTGAGACGTTTCCGACTCTGAAGTGGGAGTGATTCTCTTATTTGCATTGCCATGACACAATGGTGGCGCGTGGGTAGGAGGCCGTCTGCGGTAGGTGGTTGGGCGTGCGGTTTTCTATGAATTTTTGTTGCATCCTTGGCAATTAATGTGGTTCGTCGTCAATGGTAGGTTAAGTCATGTTCAAGTTTGAGTTGGTTTGCATAGGGCATAGGAAGTAAGCTTTGCTAATCTGCAGACCAGTGCGATTCTGTTACTCGTTTCTCATTTCCCGGTATTGTTTAAAGGCGATTCCATTCAACATTCACACGCTTTATTTTTCACATTTTCATACATGGTTTATCATATACCTAGGTGGCAACACAGGCTGTTTGCTATTGGACATCTTAGTCTGGTGGGTGCAAGATTTGTGCTCTTGTGATTTGTGGATATCAATGCATGGCTTCTGATGGGAGCAGCAAGTCTCAAGCTGTTGCACCTTTTGGTTAGCCCAACGCCCAGTATGGAGAGGAACTAGGTGTTTACCTCTATGGAATCAACGGATGGCCATTGATTAAGCATCTCCGTGCAGCTTTTTTTAACTAACATGACATGGAAAAACCTCACTGCACCCAACCAAAACTTTTCGTATTACGTATTTCGTCCTGGATCAAAGAAGACATCAGCTGTAAATGACTTTTTAAAGAGTAATACATAACCTACGTTATACCAGCGATAACCCTTTTCTTGGGCCAGAAAGGGGCCAGAATGTGTCGGGTCTTTAGTATGGATACTGTGTTTGATGACGCACGGTCGGTGGCGCCGTGCCTCTTCAAACCTGCGACGCATGGTGGACGTGTGAGCGGCCACATGCCCGACCCGTGACCGGCGTCCGGTCGTGTAACGGCGCCCCGTGCGGCCGCACGTGGCCGGGCGCGCGCACGTGGCCGAGTCCGCACGTGGCTGCGCCGGGCGCCGACGGGCGTGCCGGAGCGCGGCCGTCCGGCCCGGAGTTGGGGCCGGCGTGTCGAAGCCTGTGTGTGACGCCGCCGCCGCCGTCTCTGGCGTGCTCCGCAGGCGGCGCGACCGGCCGGCGAGCCAGCGTGCTGGGTGCGCCGCGCTCCCCGCTGAAACCAGCTGGCACGACTAAGCAAGAGGATGACCATCGCCATGCGGGGCGGGCCGGCCGAGCCGCAGGCGTCCGACCCCGCCAACGCCGCCAACAACAACGCGGTGGGTGCACGCGCGCGACCGACGTCCGCCGCGACTGTGTGTCCGAAGTGGACCGGCGGCCGTCATCTGGCGGCTTATGCCTTTGGTCTTCAGGCTGCTTTGTCGGCTGGCTCTTATCACTATGTGAGCGTAGCATGTCGGTCAGGCTCTGTTTGAGGCTACAGTGGCGTTGGCACTTGTTTGCCCTGCGATTTTGTGCCGATAATCTGTGTGTTCTTTTTTGTGCCTTGTTTGGCGCACGTGCGGCCGTGTTCGGGCGTCCCCCCTCCCCCCCCCCCCCCCCCAGCCGGCCGGAGACGGAGTGTCACCAGCGCTGACGACCGGCTGCTGTACGGCAGGGCGGCGATGCCGAGCCGCCGGCGCCGCCGCCACCGCCGGCCGCCGACGGCTCGGAGGGCGCGGCGGCCGCCGAGCCGGAGTTCCCGGTGGCCGAGCTCACCCGCCTGGAGGAGATGATCTCGCGGCCGCGCTGGGTCATCCCTGTGCTGCCCGGCGGCGAGCTGGAGGTGCTGCTCAACGCGGCCATCGACCTGTGCCAGCGAGGTCAGTCGGCCGCCAACCGCGGCCACGGCTCCGGCTCCGGCTCCGGCTCCGGCACGAGCTCGAGGAAGGTCGGGTGTGGTCCAGTATGAGGTGTGCGCTCTGGCCAGGCCAGCTGCAGGCCTCGGCAGGTCAGCCCCGGCCTGCTGTCAGGGCAGACGCGGCGAGCAAGGTCAGCTGGACGGTCTACAATTAGGTCAGGTTTAAGTGACGGTGAAGCGTCGACCAATCGCCGTTATTGCCGACAGTTATGCCACTTTGTCTGGGTGTGTGGTTTTGTGTGGTCGTGCTGTCGGTGTACCATTGGTCAATCACTCTCAGAGGGAGTGCTGATTGTATCATTTACCACTCTAACTATGGACGACGGGATTTGTTGCGTTCTGGGCAAACTTTACCAATAGGTACGTGCACGAAAGTCATGTCATATCGTAGAACCGTTCCATCCTCTAAATGCCGCCTATCAGCCTGGGAAACCCGACATATGTCAGTTTGAGTTCTGTTAGGAGTTCGCTAATGAGACCCAAGTGGCGTTGTTGATTGCGGAGCGCACCGGCTTGGGAACAGCGGCGTTCTCGGACTGGAACGCCGGGCTTGCTCTGTCTGGAGGGCCCAGTGGCGTCAGGAGGCGACGAAGTGTGCCCCGCTCCCCGGTGCGAACTCTGGGGTGGCTTGCTTGCTGCGCCGAGCTGTCCATCGCATGCATCTGCGGCACGCAGTCGGCTCCTATGCCGGCCCGGCGCCACCGGCCGCCAGAATCGCCGCCGGCCGGGAGCGGTGACGGGACGCCGCGCTGTCGGCGCCGTCGTGACCCTCGTGTAACGAGCCGTGGCCGGCGGCGGCGGCGCCGGCCACGGTGTTCGGGTCACCAGCGTCCGGGGGCGGCGCCGGTCGATCGTCCGCCCCTCCCCGTCGAGCAGTCTGTTTGGCAGCGCGGGCCGGCCGCGCGTCGAGGAGGGGAGGGGGTCACGGCCCCGATCCGGCGTCGGCGGGGGGGGGGGGGGAGGCTTAGGTTGTCTCAAGGCCCGAGAAGACGCCGTCGTGCATGCGATTGGGCACATGCTGAAAGCGTACACGTGTGGAGACGCTCAGCGTTGCACCGTGTGTTGCCGGCTGAAGCGCGACCGAACTCGCAGCGATAACCACCGGGCGTATCACCAGCCAAGAAGCTGAGAGCGTGCGGGACGTCAGTTCGCGGTGCAGCCCGATCTCCGCCCGCGCGCTCGCTGATAGGTGTGCTCTATGGTCGCGCTGGCGCCTCCGTGTGTGCGTGTGTGCCTGTGTGACACGTTCGTCCCCGCCGGCGCAGGCCTGGACACGCGCAGCGAGCCGTGCCAGCGCTTCTTCAGGGACGGCCTCACCACGTCGTTCACCAAGATCCTCACGGACGACGCTGTCAGCGGCTGGAAGTTCGAGATTCACGTGAGTGCGCGCCGGCGTCGGCCGGGAGGCGCCGGCCGGGGGCGCCGGGTCAGGTACACGGGCGGTGCATCCCCGGGCCGGCGCCGCGATACGAGGCGCCACTGGGCGCTGCACAGCTGGCCACGTCTTGACGTCGGGAGTCAACAGTGACTCACTCTGCGGCCGGCCGGAGAGCGGCTCAGCTGGTCGATAGCCCGGCTATCTGGCGGCGGGCGATGCAGGCGGGAACGCCTCCGGTGCTCATCGGCGCATGTGTCCGGCTGTTTCAGAAATGCATCAACAAAAACTGCGAGCGTCTCATCGAACTTTGCGTGACCAAACTAAACGATGACTGGTTTTGTCTACTAGAACTACTCGCGATGGTGTTCAACCCACAAAACAAGTGAGTGCGACTAACACTTGGCATGGCCACGTGACTCATTGGCTGGGGTTCTTGACCTCTACTTGCGTATAAGCCCCAAAGCGAATGCTTTGTCTTTGGGATTCGACACGATTGATGGTTATGTGCAGGACGAAATCGATAAGAACGGCAGCAAAGAATAGGATCACACCTCCAGATATGGATTAGATAAGGCTGTTTGGAGTGCAGTAGCGTTTTACGTATGGCTCAGATATGGACTGATGAGAGAAGTTCGTCTGGGCTATCATCATCACAAGGGCCCACTGTAACTGCAGGCTCGAGGGGAACAGCATTGTTACAACATGCCCAGTTACAGCTACTAACGTGCCCATTTTTCCATAAAGGTTGTGACAGTACACAGAAGAGGTACCTGTTCTGGTTATCTCGCAGCTGATGTATTGACGTCTGCGGGCGCTGTGAGGCCTGCTGCTGGCCCGTGCGAGCTGGCCGCGTGTCGTGACGCGCCGCCCCGTCGCCAGGTTCCACACGTTCAACAGCTCGCGCGCCTCGGAAACGGTGCCGGCCGGCAGCAGTCTGTCGGAGGAGGCCGTGTTCGCGCGGCCGCCCGACCCGCGCGTGCCACGAGGCTGGCTGGTCGACCTCATCAACCTGTGAGTGGGTTGCGCGGCGACGGCGGTGGCGCGGCTGGGCCGGAGTGCAGGGCTGCAGCCCTGGCCAACCGGAGCTGGCACTGGTTACCGGAGGTTGCAGTCTGCGTATGCGCGCTGCTGTGTCAGATTTGGAGCGGCTCGGTTCTCCGCGTCGCTTGTCGTCGTCAGGCCGATGTTTCAGGTGTTTTTGTGCGACCCAGTCTTCTGAGCGTTTGTGAAGCGCGGCTGCACCTCACTGTCTCCCTTCGCCAACTTCGGAGTCCGCTCGGCGGTGACCGGGTCCGGCCGCGTGGCCGCCCCGGTCCGGAGTCGGCGGCGGTGTCCCCCGCTGACGCTCCTCGCGCGCCAGGTTCGGCACGCTGGGCGGCTTCCGTCTGCTGCTGGAGCGCTTCCAGAGCGGCAAGGACCTGACGGTGGTCACCATATACGCGCTGATACGGCCCGTTGGCATGTGTTACGAACTGCTCACCGTGCACACCATCGAGAAGTACATCCTGCCGATCGTGGTAAGAGACGCGCGGTCCGCGCCCGCTGCGGGGCGCCGACTCTGGCGGCGGCTCTGCTGCCAGACGGATGGGTGGCGTTTGAGTGTGATGATGGGGGCAGGCCAGCGACAGTGGATGTTTCTGCGACGGTGACAGGGCTTCCGCGCTCGCGTTGTGTCCCAGTCAAGTGTCGTCGTTTTTGTCAACGCTTTCGGGCCAGTTGCTGGGCCAAACCAGCTATGGCCCGTCGCCCCTCGTCCTCCCCCCTCCCCCCTTCCAGATCACGTGACCTCCAAAGTACGGGGAGATGGCGGGATGTGATAGGGTGTCCCGCCGACGTCGCAAGATCCGCCGTGGCCAAGGGCAGAGTCTGATCCCGGTGTCCTGCCGCAGGAAATCGTGCCCACATTCCTGGAGAAGCTCTCCGACGACGAGCTCAAGAAGGAGGCCAAGAACGAGTCGAAGAACGACGCGCTCTCCTCGATTGTGAAGCTGCTGAAGGGCTTGGCCGGCCGGGCGCCGGGCCAGGAGGACACGGTCAAGTCGCTCGAGATGTTCCGGCTCAAGATGATACTCAGGTGAGCGCGGCCGGTGGAAGCTGGCACCGCCGAGGCTTGCGGTTGTTTGCTCGGGCCGCGTCGGTCCAGCCTATCACACGGATGCGATTGCGCTTGGTGTTCGTCAGGGCGGCGCTCGCCTTGTCATCGGGCCCGCGCCAGCCGGCCCCGAGTGTCGCGGGAAATATTCAGTCGGTACCAGGGTTGCGTTCTATAAGTGCGGGACGTCATAGGGTGTTGCATTGTCATACAATCGGTGCGTTGTGTCGTTCTATCAGCGCATGACACACGGAGGTATTCTCGTGATAGCTGTTGATACTAAAACGTGCCGTGTCACCCTGTCGCCTTCGCGGAAAACAGGTCTGATATCCGCCTGATGGCTCAAAACAAATTGGGCGCCTCATTTCGGGACTACTGTGTTGTCTTTGAACAACATTATGCACTGCTTATGCCGTGCTTCACTGGCATTAACTTGAAACGCCGCGTCGCAGTTGCCTCAGATTGACCAAACATTCTAGGAAGATTCCTCGTGCCTCCATTGACCACATGGTTGGCGTGACATTGGGTCGTGTCATTGGCTACGTCGTATTTGCGTGACGTCACGTGGAATCTTCGACGTTTGACTGGCAACGAACGGCCAAACGAGCCCGATGGCAGAGCGGCGTGGCATGCAGTCTGTGCCGTCCGGGCCTGGCGAACGCGTCGTGAGACTGGCGCGCGGGCACTTCCCCCTGCGTGCCTGGTCGCGTGTCCCGTCAGACGGGATGCGTGCTGACGAGAACCGCGGGGACGCACGTGCAGTGTGTCAGGCACCCCAAACGGGGGCCGCTATCACCGGTGTCAGAGGAGTGGTGCAGAGGGACCGCTCGTTGGTGTCGAGCGATCGTTTACACTGCTGACACTGAGGCCGTCTGCTGGAGGCTGAGATCGCGAGAGTGTTGGCGATGATTTTCGTCTGGGGAAACCCGCTGGGCCGTGTATGCAAGCGAGGCGGGCCCCGGGGCGGCGCACCATTTGTGCGAAGTTTTGACGATCCCGTACCGGCCTCCGGCCCCAGCGCCAGTTCCCATCGCCGTTAACGCCAGTTCCCATCGCCGTTAAAAGTTCCGCCCCCCCCCCCCCTCCCCACTCGCCGGCAGCAATTAGGGTCTTGTGAGCGTACTCGGCAGTGCTCGGGATTCATTTCCTGGCAGCGGGTATTCTCATGTGACTCTGGTCTCACTGGCGGATGCTATCTGTGGGGTCGGCGGTAGGTTCAGGCGGTGGCGTGCCCCCGAGCTGGCGGACGGGCGCGGCCGGCGCGGCGAGCGTGTCGTGGCCCGCGCAGCAAGGTCGCCGTCGATGTCGGCATGAGCCGGCCGGCGTCGTCGGGCTCGCGGGACCCGTTTCAGCGCCGCGGACCCAAACGTCCGATGTTCTGTCTCGTCCGGTGGCGGGGTGAGAGGAGCTGCTGGGCGAAGGCCTGCACTAAGGTCGCGCAGCACTGCGGCGCGGGCGCGGCCAGTGTCGCGGTATTGACGCCGGCGACGATGGTTTGTAGGGGAGTGGGTGCCAGCGCCGTGTCGGTGGCGGCGGTGGCATAACCTTGCCAGCCGCGCGCCGGGGTCGGGCGGGGCTGACCTCTCCGCGTGCCCTGTCCGCCAGGCTGCTGCAGATCTCGTCGTTCAACGGCAAGATGAACGCGCTAAACGAGGTTAACAAGGTGATCGGCAACATGGCGTACTACTCGCACGGCCGCGGCGTCGGCGACGACGACGAGTGGCTGACGGCCGACAAGATGGCGGTGCGTGGGAGGCCCGCCGGGCCGTTGGCGGGCTGCTGGTCTCGGTCACGTGCGGGGCGAGCGGCCGCCACTGGCAGGCGCTGCTGTGGGCTTGCATGTCCCCGTGTGGTTCTTCGGAGATACTTGCGTCGCGCCGGTGTCAGTGGGCCTCTTTAGTAAGAGCCATGGATGGGGGTAGGGAGGGCACTGAAATGATTTGGTCGCGTGCTGTCTGCTAAAGGGAGTCCCGTGATTTGTCAGTCGCGTTTCTTTGCCTGCAGAAACAATGCAAAGTTTTTGCTGTAGATAGATATGATCTATAAAAAAGAAGTACACTTGCCCCAGGTTTATCATTTATGCTGTTGCGTCGTGTGTGCAATTGTGTGCGTCCTTGGAAGGTTTCACTGCTGGGACATTAGCATTTGTTTCTGTGTTTTCAGGAATGGATAAAGGAGAACAAGGTCCTGCAGATTGTGTTACGGGATTCGCTGCATCAGCCACAGTATGTCGAGAAGCTGGAGAAAATAATTAGGTGAGTTTGGCGAATCTGCTACGAAGCCCATCGTACCTCGAAGCTATTTTTGGCCGTGCTTGGTCCTCTGAATAGAATGCCCATCACTTGATGCAACCGAAAATACACTTGAAGCCAAAAATAGCAACACAATCTGCAGGAGAACCCGGACCCTCGGGTGATATCGCATCATCATAGTGACGAGACCATCCAGCGTCGAATGTTCCATCCATATATGATGGGCGAGCCGTACCAAGGAGACTCGTCGGAATCGCTCGTGCCGGTGTGGAGCTGCATTTGTGAATGGCTCCGGAACAATGAGCTTCACGTTTGGACGGTGTCTCGGGAGACCATCGCGGGTGTCTGACGGGCCGGAGTCTGGGTCGGCCATGCCGCACGGTGCCGTCGGCGTCGGCCTGCTGCCGGCCTCGCCAAACGCTCCCCGGTCCGCCGGGGCTCCAGCGCCCCCCCCCCCCCCCCCTCTCCCGTATCCGCCGGTCACCAGCCGCCGTCCGCCGGCAGGTTTATAATCAAGGAGAAGGCGCTGACGCTGGAGGACCTGGACTCGCTGTGGGCGGCCCAGTCCGGCAAGCACGAGGCCATCGTCAAGAATGTGCATGACCTGCTGGCCAAGCTGGCCTGGGACTTCTCGCCCGAGCAGCTGGACCACCTGTTCGGCCGGTTTCAGGTGCGCGCCGTCGAGGCCGGAGCGGGGCCGGTCTGGCGGTGACCACGTGGGTCACGGCTGGCAGCGAGAGTTGTAGTGGCCACGGTCGGCCGGCGGCGCAGCCTAATCTGCTGCCGTAGCCCGTGACCTTTCACATCGCGTGACGTTTGCGCTGAGTCGATTAACTGGTCTATATTGGTAACGTTTTTTGTTCTGGGTGTTCCCGAAGTGGAGCGTTCGTTCCACGCATTGATAAACGAAAATCGGTAACTCGTCCCCAGGCACCCTGGCGGTGTTAGAGAATATCTCTCGTGGCTGTTATGTGGTGAGAATAATAGTGCTGAGATGAAGGGCTCATTCACTCGGCGATCCAGTTTTGAACGTCAGGCCGTCGTCGCTAGACCGCTTTTGATGTGCTGAATACCAGGTAATATTCTCTCGCATTGGAGCTTGAGAAGTTCGATTTCTGTGATGCCGTCACCGTCACTGGTCCGAGCTAAGCGAGTCCTGTCGGTCAGCTAGGTGCGAGTCACCAGTGAGCGTGCCGTGGAGTTGTTTGTCGCGATGCGGCTATGTCGTGTGTGGGCCGGGCGGGCGTCGGCCCCGCCTGACGCCGGCCGCCGCTGCCGCCGCCGCAGGCGTCCTGGGCCAACGCCACCAAGAAGCAGCGCGAGCGCCTGCTGGAGCTGATCCGCCGGCTGGCCGAGGACGACAAGGACGGCGTGATGGCGCACAAGGTGCTGAACCTGCTCTGGAGCCTGGCCCACTCGGACGACGTGCCCACCGAGATCATGGACCAGGCGCTCAGCGCGCACATGAAGATCCTCGACTACAGCTGCTCCCAGGTACGGCCGGCCGGTGCTGGCTGTGTACCGGGGTCGGGTGGTGGGTAGGGCGGCGGCACGACCCGGACAGTGTTCGGGGAGTGGGCGGTCACACCCGAGGGCACGTCTGACGGATTTCAGCCTCCTGCAGTGGGCCCATGTCGGCCAATGGTCAGCGGGTAGTGAGCTGGTTGGACACGGGGAGCGGCGCGTGTGGCGCGCTCGCGGCTCTGTCCCGGCTCACGCGACCACTGACGCGAGCGGCGCTCTGTCGGCGCGCAGGACCGGGACGCGCAGAAGACCAAGTGGCTGGACCGGTGCGTGGAAGAGCTCAAGTCGGACAAGTGGGTGCTGCCGACGCTGAAGCAGATCCGCGACATCTGCTGCCTGTACCAGGAGGCGCCGCCCAGCTACACGCACACGCAGCGCAACTCGCAGCACGGCTCGCACAGGTGAGCGCACGCGCGCGCGCGTGCGTCCGGCCGCCGCCCGGTGGCGCCGGACTGGACGCGGACTGAAGCGTATTTCTCTTACCCCCCCCCCCCCCCCCCCCGACAGCCCGGACTGAGCTGTGGCGCGTGCTGGCTGCTTCGCACGACGTTTGTGGCCGCATCCGCGGTGACCCGGTGTAACCGCCGGCCTGTGTTTGCTTTCAAAACAATGGTTTCTTTCCGGCTGTTTGCGGCCAAGTTATCCGCTCGATCTCGTTGATGGTCGGACAACACAGCCCGTCCGCTCCGCCGCTGTTCGGAAGTCCAGACTCGCCGGCTGGTCTGACCCCGGTGCTCTTTCGGTCCCACCGCAGACACGAGATCATCAACCAGCTGCAGAACCAGCACTCTCTAGTCATCGTCATCACCGAGAACTTGACCAGCTACATCGAGAAGATCCGCGCGCTCGCCAACAGTAAGTGGGTGCCGCTGACCGCCGGGGCCGCCGTGGCAGCTGCGTGAAGCCGTTGCTCCCGATAACAATGGCCTGGACTCGCTGGCTCGACTGTCGTTCTCTCATGTCCGACGTCAGTTGTAATGACGGTCGCCTCCCGCCGCCGTCGTCGTGCTGTCGTCGTTGTCAGGGGTTGAGATACCCCTGTTTAGTCCCTGGGGACCTTTTTGATCGTTCTGTGCCGGCACCGTGCTGTCGTCCTGCTATGTCTCCCTGCGTCCCTCTGCGCCCTGCGTCCCCCTGCGCGCCCTGCGTCCCCCTTGCATCCCCTGCATCCCTCCGCGTCTTCTGTGTCCCCTGCGTCCCTCTGCGTCCATCTGCATCCCCCTGCGTCCCCCTGCGTTTCCCGTGTCCCCCTGCATCCCCCTTGTCTCCCTGCACCCGTCTGTGTCCCCCCTGCATCCCCCTGCGTTCCTTTGCGTCCCCCTGCACCTCTCTGCGTCCCCCTGCGTCTCCTGTGTCCCCCTGCGTCCCTCGGCGTCTCCCCGTGTCTACGGTGACCGGCCTGGCTGTGACCTTGGCCGCCCCGCCGCAGGCACCAACGATATCGACGTGCACACGTACTGTCCGGACGGCCGCTACAATCACGTACAGCAGATCCAGGAGCGGCTCAACTTCCTCCGGTTCCTGCTCAAGGTGGGTGGCCCGCTCCTCCTGCGGTTCCCGCTGGTCAAGGTGGGCAGCTCGCTCCCCGCCACCGGCAGGACGTCGCCGGCCGGTAGGGCACTGGTATGTCGCGTGTTGTGCGACTGTGAGCATGCGCCGGCCGGCTGGAGCTCCGTCCGCCGGTCGTGGGGCGGTGGTATGTCGCGTGTTGTGTGACTGTGGGCGTGCGCCGGCCGGCTGGGGCTCCGTCCGCCGGCCGGTGGGGCGGTGGTATGTCGCGTGTTGTGTGACTGTGGGCGTGCGCCGGCCGGCTGGGGCTCCGTCCGCCGGCCGGTGGGGCGGTGGTATGTCGCGTGTTGTGCGTGTGAGTGTGCGCCGGCCGGCTGGAGCTCCGTTCGCCGGCCGGTGGGGCGGTGGTATGCCGCGTGTGGTGCGACTGTGAGCGTGCGCCGGCCGGCTGGAGCTCCGTCCGCCGCCGCGGATAGGTGCGCACGGGTCACGGGATGTCATGCGCCGGCCGCCAGTGTCAGCGTGTCTGCTGTCTGCGCTATCCGCCGGTGTTTACGTGTGTGGTGTTAGCGCGCCGGCCGCCAATGTCGGCGTGTCTGCTGTCTGCGCTATCCGCCGGTGTCGGCGTGTCTGGTGTCTGCATGTCTGGTGTCTGCGGCCGTCGGTGTCTGCCTGTTTGGCGTCTGCGGCCGCCGGTGTCCGCGTGTCTGCTGTCCACACCATCTGCCGGTGTCCGCGTGTCTGGCGTCTGCGCGCCGGCCGTCGGTGTGAGCGTGCCCGGTGTCGGTGCCGGCAGGACGGGCAGCTGTGGCTGTGCGCGCCCCAGGCGCACCAGATCTGGTCCTGCCTGGCCGAGCGGGCCGTGTTCCCGGCCGACCGCGAGCTCTGCTTCAAGTGGTTCAGCAAGCTGATGGGCGACGAGCCCGACCTTGACCCCAACATCAACCAGGAGTTCTTCAAGCAGAACATCCTGCAGCTGGATCCGGCGCTGCTCACCGAGAGCGGCATCAAGTACGTCGTCGCCGATGTTCGCCTCGCCTTCGCGTACTGGCTCAAACGGGGCCTAGAGCGACTGATATGTCAGACGGTGATCCTGACATGCTGCGGCGAGATGTCAACGTGCTCTTTCGTTCGCTCGCTGTGCGTAAATCAACTGGGACATGAACTGTGGACGGCGGGAAGCAAGCGTGCGAAAATAGCTGCTGGTTGTCGCCTCTGTTCCATTTCTATCTGAATCCGAGATATCGTGCCTTACGAAGTCGCGCAGGCGCGCTGCAGTGTTTCCATGCCGGCCGTCGTTGACCGGGCCGGGCGCTCGCCAGGTGCTTCGACAAGTTCTTCAAGGCGGTCAACCAGAAGGCGGGCAAGCTGGTGCCGAAGCGGCGCACGTTCTTGATGGAGGACGAGGAGCTGATCGGGCTCGACTACATCTGGCGGGTGCGTGGCCTGGTGTGGCTAGTTCGCCGCTGCCGCCGCCAGTGGCGCTGACGGTCCCGCTCCTGCGCGCCGCCGGCGCCGACGCCGCTCGGTGCCGCAGTCCTGCTCGGGACGTCGGTCTGACCCTGGCGGGTGATACGGTCAGGCGCCGACGCGGCGGTAGGGAATGTCCGCGCCCGATAAACGGTACCCTGCGGTTCTCCACCTCTCCGTTGGCGGCGCTGCGATGGTGCTTGCGATACTAGAAGGTGTAATCCGGGCTGAATAGTAGTGAGTGGGGCTATCATTAGTCCTAGTCTGTCTGCTAGTTTCGGCTATCTTAAAGGACCCATCTCCTCCGCTTGGCGCAGATTTTCTTGTGGAGTTACGGGTATCACTAGCACCCGGTCCAACCCCGAGGAGTACTGACTTCATGTCAACACTTCGAAGGCGGGTCATGTTGGTGCCCCAGTGTGCTATGCCGACACGTGACTGGCCAGAACGCATCGCAGCGGCGTTACCTCGGCTGGTGTCGAACTTCGGCCCCTGTACGGCGGCTGGCAGTGCTGACAGCGTGTAGCAGTGACTGGCGTGTCCGGCCGGCTGGTGCCCTCACTCAGGAGACCCGCCGCGTGCTGTTGCAGGTGGTGATGAACGGCAGTGACGACATCGCCAACAAGGCCATCGAGCTGCTGAGGGAGACATACACCAACCTGGGGCCGCAGCTGCAGACCCAGCAGGTCAGTAGACGTGCGCCAGCCTAGGGCAGTAGCTGCAGACTCAGCAGGTCAGTAGACGTGCGCCAGCCTAGGGCAGTAGCTGCAGACTCAGCAGGTCAGTAGACGTACACCAACCTGGGCCGCAGCTGCAGACCCAGCAGGTCAGTTGACGTGCGTCAGCCTAGGGCACGAGCTGCAGACCCAGCAGGTCAGGTCACGATATCCTTTGCGTTGCTGTCTTTGGGCTTCCCTGTGACCATTGCTATTCAGGGTGTGATCGGTATTGGGTTTGTGGTTTTGGGTCGGGCATACGAGATCGCAAATGTCGAAGAATCAGGAGGGGTGAAGAATTAAAGATTCATGTCAGGGCTTGTAAAAGCCATATGTTTTGATTCCGCAGCGTCGTTATGTGCGTGAGCCTCAGCTGCGTCTGAAAGATCGTAACTGTTTTTAAACTGATATGTAGCAAGTTGCGTCAAGCCGAGGAGCATGCATATAAAGAAGTCGGGTGTAAGTATCTATGGGCGAAGGCAGTCCAGCGGACAGCACTATTCCACCTGTGTGTGTGACCCCGCTGACCGATGTCCGCCCGCCGCCGACAGAAGAGCATCCACGCGGACTTCATCAGCAACTGCATGGACCGGCTGCGCGCCAGCCACGACACGATGTCGGTGCTGGAGCGCGACTGCGACTCGCCGGCCCGGCTGCGCGTGGCCACCACCCTCTGCCGCGTGCTCAAGGTGCTGCGCGAGTACATCGTCGAGTGCGACAAGGAGTACGGCGACGAGCGGGTCTGCCTGCCGCTCTTCAGGTGAGAGCGAGCGGCCACTGGGGCGGCCCGCCGCCGCCGGCGCCGGCGCCGGCGCCGCGCCGTGGCCTGCGCTGCTCAGGAACTCTGCCGCAGGGCTGGGTTTCCGGATGTCGGGAGGGGATAGAGGGCAGGGGCAGCGTGCCGGCACGTTGTTCACGTCGGTGAGGTCGGAGGTGTTTTCGCCGTGAGGCCGGTGGGACATTGCTGCTTGGCGTTGTATTCAGCGACGGCTTATTGCGTGCCATGTTTTGATCCATGTTACGATGCTGCTTAAAAGTGATACGTTGTGAAGCAGGCTAATGCACAGCCCCTGGGACTGTGAGGAAGATCTGTGAAAGGACCGAAAATTTGTGGATTGCTGCATGCCATGAGATAACTTGTCATCTATCAAAGCCCTGGTGACCCGCCCCACCTATCGTGCTTCTGATGTTTTTCACGGGTCTCGCGCCCTATCCATGACGTCCCATTGCGCCTCCGGCAGGGCGTACCGCGGCAAGCACCTGAACCTGGTGATCCGGCTGCCGACCCAGGGGCGCAACTACGACTTCACGGTGGAGTCGCACACGCAGGAGACGCTGGCCTCGCTGCGCCGCCACGTGCTGCACAAGGTCAAGGCCAGCTCGCAGGCGTTCAAGGTCGAGCTGTACGTCAACGGCGAGGCGCTCGACCACACCGAGGACAAGAAGTGTGTCGGCGAGCTGGCCGTCATCAGGGATGAGACGGTGCGTGGGCGGCGCCTCTCCTCGCGCGGACGGGGCGGGGACGGCGCCCGAGCCGACGGCAACGACACCCTCTTGGTCCCTGTTTGTGTGTGGGGGTGCGTGTGTTGAGGGGAAGAGGGGGAACTCGCTGTGCTTTGACTGTGTGGAGGCGCGACCGTCTTGCCTTGCTTTGGAGTCATGGCCGACGCGTTGTGGCTGTGCTAAGCTAACATTGCGGTGGATATGCGATATTTGACCCGCCGCTGCTTGCAGTGTAGTTCTGGTTGGCAGTGTAGAGTTTGTGGGCAGTTGAGCTTGTCGACTTTCTATCAAGGACAAAGTGTATGTGACGTTCCCGGGAGTTGGGGAGTTGAGGCTCTGCAAGTGCACCACTGAGCTAGCCGGAATGAGCTCCAGCGGTCAGAGCGCCGGCTCCCCAGGCCCTGCTTAGCGGACCGCCCCGCCCGCCCCGCAGGTGCTGACCGCCAAGCTGTGCTCCACGAGCGGCGCCGGCGCGGTAGCGGGCGGCGGCGCCGGCGGCGCGGGCGCGGCCGGCGCCGGCGGCGGCGGCAACATGCCCTCCTCGCCGGACAGTAGCTCGGACAGCTCGGCGCCGTCGCCGCAGCATCCCTGCGACGGGCCCAACGTGGAGGCCGAGAACGCGCTGCCGGGCGTGGTGAGTCGATGCGCGGCGGTGCGTTGGGTCGGTCGGGAACCGGTGTGGACACGGATTTTCTACGGGTGGGAGCGTTGACGAAGTGCCGCTGTTTGATGGTGGGGGGCTAACGGTTGGTTGTGGACTGGAAACAGGAGCAGGAATCGTGGGGTTGGCAGGCATTGCGGGTGGTTGGTCGCTGTCTGGCACGGCAGGTGGTATAAATGAATGTCGTCGAGGAACATTCGCGCTATGTTTTGGTACACGACATATGAGTGGAGCGACAGAGTCCTGCGTGGCGCTGGCGTGCGGCGGCGGCCACGGCGCGTCGTCTGGCCGGGGCGAGGCGGGGCGCTGACGGCCGGCTGCTCGTCCTCCGTCAGATCCTGTCGCAGCAGGAGAAGTACGTGGACTTCCTGCTGCGGCTGGCCGACCTCGGCTGCCGGATCGGACACGCGCCGCTGCGGGACGCGGCGCGCGGCGTGCTCCAGATGACACCGGCCGGCCGCAGCACAGGTACGCACGCGCCGCCGCTGTGCCCTGCCTGACGCCGGACGTGTGTGGCGAGTGTGCCGCCCTGTGTGTGTGTCCGCCACTGGCTCGTCGTCTGCCGTCGCGCGGGTGATGGCACTGTGCGGTGCTGCGATCCGTCGAACAGCGCGTGACCGTGGTGAGCCGCAGGGTAACGGGGCGTTGTCGGGGTGTCGCGTCTCGGGCTGGGCTGTCGGCCGGACGGTGCGGGCCTGACGCCGCCCGCTGCTTCGGCGACCAGCGAGCGGACGCGGCGTGAGCAGGCTCTTGCAGGGGGCGCGGGAAGCGTGGCTGCACGGGCGCGCGGCCGTGTCAGTGCTGACCGGCGACGGTCCTGCGCCGCAGTGGAGCAGCTGCACGCGGCCTGTCAGGAGGGCGGCGAGCGTCGTTCGGCCAGCGCCGGCGCGCCCTGCACGCTGGAGGCCATCTTCTTCTCGCCGTCGCCGTCGCAGGTCCTGTACTCGCTCGAGGTGAGCAGGCGACCCGGGCCTCTGTGGGCCTGAGCCGCGGTCTGTGCTGGTCCCAGGTGGGAACGACGCGGCCATTGAGACTGCCTCCCGATCCGATTCCGTCCCGCGTCGGTCCCTGCGCGGACGAGGGCCGGGCCCGACCAGGTCAGATGGTGCGGTCGGGCCCGGCACAGTGTGCCCCCCTCCGTTCCCTTCGTGCCCTCTCTCGCCCTGCAGAGCGAGGAACACGCCGCGGTCGTGGTCCGTCTTCGGCACAGTTGCCTCGGCCCGGCCCGGCCAGGCGTCGGCGATCCTCCCGAGTGAGCGGGCTCGGCTTGCGTCTCGGCACGCTCAGACGCGTCGTTGGTGAGCGCCGCGCTGCTCGCGCGCGCCGAGCGGTGCGGGACGTATTTGTCGGCGTGTGGTGTGCGGAGTCCGGGCGACGAGCCGGTCTGCTGACGGCTGCGCGCCTGCCGCGGCCGCCAGGTGCTCTACAGTCTGCTGATGCCGGCCGACGGCCCGCTGTCGGACAAGTGCTGCGAGTTCCACCGGCAGTTCCTCAAGAGCGGCGGCGGCACGGCCGTGCTCGACATGCTTAACAAGAACAACTTCCTGTCGGGCGCCGACCTGGCCACCAAGAGGTGGGACCCGCGCCGTCCCGCCGAGCGGCTCTGTCCCGCTCCGACCTCCGTCGGCGTCCTGTCGTGCGGCTATGACGACAGCAGTGTCGTGTCATGCAGGCCGCGTGTGTCGACTGCCGTGGTGCTCGCCGACGCCCTCGGCGGGCCACTGCCGCGCGCTGGGAGGCCCTCGTCCGAGTGGTCGATGCCGTGACGGCCGTCGTGCGGCGTGGTGCCCGGTGCGCGCGCGCAGAGTGCGGTGTGTCGGTCTGCCGCAGCCGCCCTGTGACCGGCTCCGGTCCGCTCTCCGTCCGTCGCAGGCTGGCCTTCCTGACGGTGCTGCGGCTCGCCAAGCTGGTGCTCTCGACGGTCGGCTTCGCGTCGGCCCAGCTGACCGGCGAGACGGGCGACACGGCCCTGCAGCAGGTGAGAGGGCGGCCCGAGCGGGTTGCGCCGCGCACCACACCGCGCCGTGGGCGCCGGCGCCGGCGCGGCACCTTTGGAAGGCGTCTCGCGTCGTCGCCGCTGTCGCCGACGTCGCCGGCGGATGTGTGCCGATGAGCTCTCCTCGTCTGCGTGCCAGTAACCGGGCAGCGTGTTGTGGACTGTGCTCTCTCACTGGACTGGGCTGCAGGCGGCTGAACGCTCCTCCCGTAACGCCGGCCCCTAACCGAGCGCCCGGTGGCCGTCCGTCGCACGGCGTGTGGCCGCTGAGTGTCGTGAGCTGCGCCTGGCGAGACGCCGCCGCTGTGTCGTGGCGCCGCGCGGCCGTAAGTGTGCCGCGCCTCCGCCTCAATGTCGCTCTGTGCTCGTTGCAGGCTGTTATCCTCCCTAGCTCTGAGTGTATTTTGCGGAATGTAGCCATCATAGTGGCGCAGAAGATGGGCGACACGGTGAGTGGCTGTCGGGCAGGGCCGAGCGGCAGGTCGGCCCGGTCGTCGTCACTGCATGCCGTGTGCTTCCTCACTTCGCTGGTGTCATCGCGTGCAACTGCGCTGTGTGGATCCGCCAGTGAAATGATATGGGTGTGTTTGCATGTCGCCACCATAAGTGGGTTCTCATCCACTTGTCTGCGCTTCGTTACACTTGGCCTTGGCCGCGTCTGCTCGGTTGGCTGATGCTCAGATATTGCCGCTCTGAACGCGCCAGTGTTTGGGGACCGGCGCGACTCGACTGTGATTGGTGTATTGGCGCGTGGGCGTGCGGCCTGACCGAGACGCGCGCGACCGGCGCGCGCCGGCGGTGGCCGGGCGGCCGACCACCCTCGCTAACGGCGCGTCGCCGGCCGCGGCGCAGATCACGGCGGTGATTCCGGAGCTGGACCACATCCAGTTCGTGATGAAGCTGGTGTGGGCGTCGTGCTGCGGCCAGCTGCAGGCGGCCGACCACCAGCCGGCCGAGCTGCGCCGCCTGCTCGAGGCCGACTCGGAGACGGGCGGCGCCTGCGACCTGCACGACCTCGACGGTACGGGCGCCCGCCGGCGCCGCCGGCACGGTGCGCGCGGGCTATGATGTGTCCGGCTTGTTCACGTGGCTGGTCCGATGACTGAATTGCCGCGTTGCTGCCCAAATAATTGGTTTTGGGTGCGGACTGTGGCTCATGTCCCATTATGCAGCTCAGTTCAGCTGTTTAGTGCTGGTTGGACATGCTTGTCACGCCCCCTGCGGGTGTGTCTGTCTGTATCTGCACGGCCGGTTGGTCCCGATTGTGCCCACGCTGTCCCCCATTGTCCACTGTCCCCTCGCCTTCTCACCCCACTGTCCCCCGCCCCTCGCTGTCTCCTGTCTCCCCATTGTCCCCTGACCCCCACTGTCCCCCCCCCCCTTCTGTCGTCCTCCCGCTGTCCCCCTCGCTCGGTACGCTCATCGGCGGGCCCCGGCTGGGCCTCTGCGCCGCCGGCCCGTCAGCTGACCGTGGTCGGGCCGTCGCAGTGTGCCGGGAGGGTCTGGAGACGCTGTCTGTGGCGCTCTGCCTGCGGCCCGACATCCTGGAGGCGCTCACCAAACAGGAGTACTTCCAGAGCTTCATCATCGACCTGGTGCTCATCTGCAAGAACCGGTCAGTGCAGGCGGCGCTGACGGGCGAGGCTGGTGCAGAGACGTTCTGATGGGATCGGTGCTTGCCCATGAGCTGACATGTGCACTCTTCTGCCGCCAGTCGGATCATAGCATGTGTTAAAGTTATCTCGTTTGGCGTGGGGTTTGTGAGTTGTTCACATATACTGTGTGTGAAATAGCACGGCTGTTGCTGTGAGCCTAAGGCCTGGTAATTGACGGTCTCGTGAAGGCTCATACAGAACATAAATTGCTGCTTAGTATGAGGTAGTTCGATGTGTTATTTTTTAACATTGATGTGCCCGAAGGACGAATTTAGTCTGATTCGTAATCGGGAGTATGTACGCATGGGAGCCGGGTGGTAGGAAGTGGCCTGAAATTTAAGTTTGCCATGTATCGGAGACGGTGACGTCCTATGACCAAATTTGACTTGAATTTCTGGGCGGGTCAGGCAGCGTCTCAGCCGACCGCAAGGCTTGATGCCTCTGCCAGTCACCAGAGGCTACTCGAGTATGTCTCCGCAGAGCGAGGCGAGCGACCTGAGTATGCCCGGTCGTGCGAGTCGTGATGCGGGTCGTGATGCCTGTGAGACCGCCCCGTGTGTGGTGCTGTAACCAGTGCCGGACACCAGGCGTCGCCACCTGTCGCCCCCGCGCCACGTGCTGCGCTCCGAGCCGGGCGCGCGTGACGCCTGCGAGACCGCCCCGTGTGTGGTGATATGACTAGTGGCCGACACCAGGCGCCGCCACCTGTCGCCCTGGCGCCACGTGTTGCGCTCCGAGCCGGGTGCGCGTGACGTGACACGCCGGTTCGCCGGGGTTTCAGCGTGGTACGGATGTGCGCGGCAGAGCAGTTCTCCCTGATCGCCATGCGCTGCAGCAGCAACAGCAGCGGGCTGATCTTCTTCATCAACCTCCTCTTCTCCATGCTGAACGGCAAAGCCAAAGACAACGCGTCCAACTCGCAAGAGTACTTTCAGGTGGGTGGGCGTGCCTCTGAACCGGTGGCACCGCTCTCGACCTGTGTGATGTGTCGGGCTCTGCCCCTTCCCGTTCGCCGGCGTGACCGTGCGTAGCGCCGCGCCCGGCGTTCCGGCGTTGGACTGGGTGCTGTCGCCCGTGGAGGACAGGGGTTAACCGTGACCAGGAGCGGGTGGTGCCGCTCGCCCGCCGCTGCTCGGACCGTTCAGCAGTGTTTCTGTTCGTGATGGGCGAAGTGTGCCGGACTGTAAGGGGCACTGAGCGTGACGGATGGCGAACTCGGGCCGATCTGGCGGGTGGGCCTCGGCGGTGTTCGGTGGGGGCGCGTCACATGACCACGTCGTTGATAAGGTGTGGCGCGCGACGTCTGCGGTGCGGCGGCTCGCAGCCGGGGCAGTGCAGGGCGGCGCCACAGTGTAGCGACGGTGCCGTTGAGCGACGGCGACGCCACAGTGACGGGACGTTGTGCCGCAGCTGCTGTGTCGCCTGCTGGACTGCGCCTGCCACCACAGCCTGACCGTGCCCGGTGTGGAGAAGCTGCTGCACTCGGAGATCGTCTGGCTGCACCAGGTCAAGGTGCGTCCCGTCCGACCTCTCGTCTGTGTTCTGTTAACAGTTGTTCTGTCAGCCCGGAGAAGTTGTATAGTTGTAAGAAGTATCAGCCCGTTATACGCTGTGGGGCTTTATGTTGCCTGTGCGCATCTGTAGTCGCGCTGGGCTGACCTGAATGTATGTGTAAGTTTGTCACGTTGGAAGACGGACCCCGGCGGTCACTGCCGTGTGGGTCCTTCCGAGCGTATCGCCGGCCCGGCCGCGAGCGGACATCTGGCTGGGGGAGCGCCGACGGGCCGCCTCCCGCCGCCACCAGGCGAGCGTCCGCCGGCCGTCTGTAGCGCTCCCACCCCCGCCGCTGTGCGGGGAGGGGGCTCCGTGCTGGCCGCTGTGATGGGGCGGCAGTGACCGTGACCCTGACCGATTTTTGTGTGTGTGTGTGCGAAGCAGGAGCGGCACCGTGACCCGACCGTCACCGAGCCGGTGGACGAGCTGCTGATGGAGGGCCACCTGCGCGTCACCAGAGAGCTCATGGCGTTCCTCTCGCCGGACCAGAAGGTGAGGCGGCGGTTGGCCTGGCGCGTGGCCGTCCGTCGCAGCGGCGCCCCGATCGGCCGGGCTGATAGTGTGCTCGCCTTCGGCTGGGACAGAACAGCTGAGTCTGTCGGCGCGCCGCCGCACCCGCGCAGGGCTGTCTCGTCTTGCGATGCCTTGCCGGCGCAGGCCACGGGAATTGCTCAGCACCGAGAGCCAGGACGTCAGCCGTGCGCAGTTGCGGCTTCGATGTTGATCCTCCGTAAGTCGCCTGAACGAGTGACGACCGTGCTGTTGATGCGCGTCCACCCGCGGCCGGCCGGGTGCACGGTTGTGACGCTGGGTGCGCGGCCGCCAGTACGCCGTCGGCTGTGACCCGGAGCGGAACGGCACGCTCGTCACCGAGCTGCTGGAGAACTTCCTGCTGACCAACTCTGTGATGCTGCTGCGGCTGGAGAAGACCGGCGAGCTGCCCGAGCAGCTGGTGAGCTCGCTGCGCCGCTGCGGTCCGGTCGCCGGGGCGCGCCACTCTGCGCGCTCCGGCGGCGCCGGCCGGCGTCGGCGTGTCAGACGGATTGAACGTGTCGCGAACGTGTCACAGTTCTCGCCTGTCGTGCTCTCCCAGCGGGACGGACGTATACTGTCGATGGTTCTGGCATGCTTTGGTACGCCCGACGTCCGGAGCGGCCTGCGATGGGACGTAGAGCGTCGCCCAGGCCGTCATTGCGGACACCTCACACTGTGATGCTGTGTGATGATCCCCCTCCGTGTGGTGATCTTCGCGCTGTGTCACCCGCCGCGGGTTCGGCCGCCGCCGCCGCCGGCACGTGTGCGAGTGGTGACGCCCGGTCCGGCTCCGACAGCCGACGCCCATCTGCTACTCGGCCGGCACGGGCGTGGCGGCGTTCGACGTACTGGTGGCGCTTTGCACCGGCTGCGTGCAGAACCTGCGGCTGGTGGTGGATACGCTCATCGAGATGTACTACAGCGGTGAGCGGGGCCGAACGGAGCCCGGGCGCCCCCCGAGGCTCAGGGCAATCCCTAGGGCAGCTGACCGACCGCGAGTGGGGCTGTGGATGTCGAGGGGTTCACTCCCCCACCCCGGGCCAACACACCCAGGGTGGGGGTGCGGTCTGTGGAGGGGTATGACAGAGGCGCGCGTCGTACCCAGTGACTGCAGGGATACAGGCTTTTCCACCACTACGGTGGGCTGCTGGTTTCCACGGCTTGACGGCGGGAGCCAGTTGACTGCGTCTCCACGGCGAGCCACAACCGTGGCTCAAATCGTCTGAATCTTACCTTAACTTCAGTGCAGAAGGGGTGCTGGGGCGGCCACGTAATGTGCCCTGCACGCGTGGCAAACATATGAAAACCGGAAACGCGACTGACACCTGACCTGGCCCGATCTTACCCGACCTGACCTGACCTGCCCCGCCCCAGATAACGAGGAGCCGATCACGGAGTGGGAGTACACGCCACCGGTGGGCAAGCGGCCGGTGGGCGGCTTCGTCGGCCTGAAGAACGCCGGCGCCACCTGCTACATGAACTCGGTGCTGCAGCAACTGTACATCATCGACCGCGTGCGCAACGGCGTGCTGGCGGCCGAGGGCGCGTGCGTCGACCCCGACGAGGACTTCAGCGGCGAGGAGCGCGCCGATAACGAGGTACGGCCGGCGGACGCGGCGCCACCGTCCCCGGTCACGTGGCGACGGGTGCCCACGCAGAAGTGAGGGTGTAGTTTAGTCGTGGCGTGATTGTGGACAGGCCGTAGTGTCCAGAGTGGCCGCGACGTCGCTGGTGGTGCGGCGCCTGTTGGCTTGCTTTTGTCTCGGTGTGTGGCATACGAGTCCGGACGGGTCCCACGTTTGTTTGTTTTTCATGGCCGTTGTCTCGTGCTCGGCGTAGAGGCAGCGAGTGTGTGCCGGGTTTGAGGCGCGTCGGCAGCCGACTGAGCGTTGGTGTGTCCCGGCCGCCTGTCAGATCCAGCTGAGCGACACGGAGAGCGACGAGCGCCGCTCGGAGACGCAGCGCGAGTACAACATCGGCATCCTCAAGTGGCTCCAGGCCATCTTCGGCCACCTGGCCGGCAGCAAGCTGCAGTACTACATCCCGCGTGGGCTGTGGAAACACTTCAAGTGAGCGCGATGGTGGTGTGAGGGGTGGGCCGACGGCTCGGGTGCGGACGCGGGGTCCGCCGGCTTTGAAAGGTGCGTGTGTGCGTGTCTGCGTGGAGCCGGTGCCCTGAAGACGTGTGGTCTTGGCGTGCGGTCTGGCCGCGGCCTGGCTGGCGCAGGTCCTGCTGAGACGGCGGCCGCCGTATAGCCGCCATCACTATCCGGGGAAGCTTGGTCGCCTTCGGCTGGGCAGGGGTTCTTTAGTTAACCTGCGTGTCGGCACGTGTCTCCTTGTTGTTGGTTGATGACCCGGTGCGCGTACGTTATGGCGCCCGGCATGCTGGGTATTGCGAGCAGAGGCCGGACGGCGTCAGCACGGCTGTGTCGGCGCAGCGTGCGTCGGCTTCCGTCGGAGCCACGGCCTCTGGTATCTCCCGCTGACGCCGTGTGGCGCTGGTGGCGCTCGCGCCGCGCGGTCGGCCTGTCCGGCCACCCTGACCGCCGCCCCTGCCTCTCCCCTCCACCGGCAGGCTGCAGGGCGAGCCGGTCAACCTGCGGGAGCAGCACGACGCCATCGAGTTCTTCATCTCGCTGGTGGACTCCGTGGACGAGGCGCTGAAGGCGCTCGGCCAGTCGCTGGTCATGTCGCGCGTGCTCGGCGGCGTCTTCTCCGACCAGAAGATCTGCAAACAGTGTCCGCACCGGTCAGTCCCATGCCGGGATGGGGTGGGCTGCCGCGGACTGGGCGGCGGGGCGGCACAAGCCTCTTCAACCTGTGCTCACCAGGGTTGACCTATGGCACGGCGTGCTTCAGGCGAGGCTAAGGGGACCTCACGTGTGCGGATTGCATAATGGGCGCCACAAGTACAACGGGGCGGTCGACAGTGAGGCGACACCGGAGCGACGATGCGCCGTAGGCGTTCGGGTGTAGACCTCCAGCGACTTGTCTCCTCGCAGCTGCGCGCCGCCGTTGCCCGTGCAGCCGCGAAGAGACAAAATGCTGTCTATCGTGCCAGGCCGCTGGCACGGCGGGCTCTGGTCCGTGTCCTGACGGCCGCGCCGCGCGCCGCCGCAGGTACTCGAAGGAGGACCCGTTCACCGTGCTGAACGTGGACATCCGCAACTTCACCAGTCTGACCGAATCGCTGGACCAGTACGTCAAGGGCGACCTGCTGGAGGGCGCCAACGCCTACCACTGTGATAAGTGCAACCGCAAGGTGAGCGCCGCGGCCGCGCCACGTGCCGTAGCCCCGCGCAGGGGTGCCGGCGGACTCGGCCGGGCCGGGCTTGGCCGTCCGGCGGGGGCGGGTCGTCATGAGGAGTGAGATATGGATAGACTTCGGGCTTAGGTAGATGGCGCCGTTGCTGTGCAGGGCGTTATGTTGAGCCGTGGTGACCCGCGGGCCCTGTCGGTGGTCGCCGTGCTGGTGGTCGCGGTCCAGCCATGGCTGTCTACCATGTGATCCCTCCGGCCGGCTGAGGTGGGGCCCGCCCGTCAAGGTCAGGTCACCAGGGCGCTGACGTCCCCTCCCCCGCCGTCGCGCCCAGGTGGACACCGTCAAGAGGACGTGCATCAAGAAGCTGCCGTCGACGCTGTGCATCCAGCTGAAGCGATTCGACTACGACTGGGAGCGGGAGTGTGCAATCAAGTTCAACGACTACTTCGAGTTCCCGCGGCAGCTCGACATGGAGCCCTACACGGGTGAGGGCGCCGCGCGGCCGGCACCTGCCCGCTAACGGGGCCGGGCAGGTCAGGGCCTCGGCCGGACGGCGGCGACACCCACCCGGCACGCTCGGGTCTTCAGACTGGAGTCAGTGCCGCAGTTACCGATGAGTAAAGCACCCTGCGTTGGCTCCAAACGCCGGCCGGCCGGGCTTGCCTCGGGCTGCTGAGAGGCGCCGCGTCGTGACGCTCTCGCCGCGGCCGGCCGTGCCTCGGCGGCCGTGCTGACGCCGCCGCCCCGTGGCCGGCAGTGCGCGGCCTGGCGCGGATCGAGGGCGAGCTGATCGACGGCGACCCGGAGGAGCTGACGCGCACCGTCTGCTCCAGCTACGAGCTCACCGGCATCGTGGTCCACAGCGGCCAGGCCAGCGGCGGCCACTACTACAGCTACATACTGCACAAGTGAGACCGCCGCGGACGCCGGTGCCGCCGCGCGGCCAGCCGGCCGAGGCGAGGCCCAGGCGACGCTTGGTCGATGATTATAAATGTGCATTGTTCGTGTACATGAATGCATCCACGATTGAACTGGCAGTTATAATAACTCATAACTTACAGATGAGTTAAACGGGGAGTGCAGAGTGCAGCTTGCTGCGCGCGGGTGGTGTGCCGGGGCCGCCCTCCCGAGGCTGGGCTTCGTCCGAGCTCCCGCCACGGACCGAGAGTGTACCGGAGCGTTACGTCAGCGAGCGTGTGCTGGCGCTGCGGCGCGTTCAGCCGGCCGGCGGCGGCGGCGCCGTGACTGACGCCGCCCGCCGGCGCTGCAGGAGTCCCGACGGCAGCCGCCAGTGGTACAAGTTCGACGACTACGACGTCTCCGAGTGCCGCATGGAGGACGATGAGGAGATGAAGACCCAGTGCTTCGGCGGCGAGTACGTCGGAGAGGTGAGTGGTGTGGCTGCTCCGCTGCGTCCCCGCCTCTCTCTCCACTATGCGTGGCTATCACCAGCTCGTTGGGCGTGTGAAAAGACCCGCGAGACTTACGCTCAGGAACGGCTTTTCTTAGATGCTGCCAGTCAATTACCAATTACTGTCGTGATTTGTATGTGAAATGTAGGCAGCGGACGACAGTGGTTTGAGCGACGTAAAAAACTCCGCTGCAATTATAGTGGTTTGCAAGAGAAGTGTACTGTAGTGCGCGTTTTCCTTGCTGTTTATGTGATGCGCACTTCATCCTAGCAGTTTTATTTAACGATTGCCTTCGCCGAGTGCGCGGAAGTGAAGCGGAGCAGATGTGGCTGGTCTTTTTGCGGGTGCCGGCAAAGAGCGTCGAGGACTGCTGTCCTCGTCTGACTTCAGTGGATACCAGTCACCACCCACCGTTCAATCCAGAGTTGGAGTCGCGTTATTTAGTATCGCCGATTCTTCTCCGAATCACATTCTGGACACTCACTTTGGATTCCATTGGCTACCGTCCAGAAAGGCGGACAAGACGTCCGCTGCTCTCCACGTCCGTCGGACAACTGCACGCTGGACATGATGGGAAATGTGGGCTCGTGTGACCGATCGGCCAAAGAGGAACCATCAACTCATGGGCCATACGCACGGCATTGATTGTTCCCCAATGCTCAGCGTACAGTGCCTACCACACAAATCTTACGGGTCCACGATACTCACACAGCTGTTGTGGGATAGCCAAAGTTCGATCCGTCCCGGCGCCCTGGTGACGGAAGCGGGCCGGTTCGGAGCTCTGGTCGCGGAGTGGGGGAGTGGTGGGTGGCTCTGCGCGCTCTCCGCCGCGTGGCGCCGGTCTCGTCAGCCCGGACGGTCCGCCGTCAGCGGCGCCGGTCGGTGATGCGCCCTCACATCTGCAGGTGTTTGACCAGATGATGAAGAGGATGTCGTCGCGGCGCCAGAAGCGCTGGTGGAACGCTTACATCCTGTTCTACACGCGGACGGACACGGAGTCGGAGCCGCGGCCGGACGGCCTGCCCGGCCAGATGCAGCAGCTCTCGCTCAGTCAGTACCCCGCCCGTCGCCGCCCCCGCCGCCGGTGCGCCGTCTCACTAACGCGCCGCGCTGGCTGGCTGGCCGAACCCGGCGGCTGCGCGTCCGCTGTGGCGAGGTGGCTGGCGCCGGTGCGTCTGCGCCAGTGGAGATGAGTAGATGGTGGCCATTGAGTACGTTTGCCTGTTGCGGCGGGGGTGACCAGACCGGTGGCCGTTCGCCGGCGTCGTCTAGCTGTGTGGCCGGCATCTGCTTGCCGCCGACCGCGCTGCTGACCGCGCCGCCTGCTCTGCCGCAGCCGACATATCATCGGTGAGCCACATCAAGATGCCGGCGCCCATCCAGCGCAGCATCCGGCGTCAGAACATCCGCTTCCTGCACACCAAGAACCAGTTCTTCAGCGAGTTCGTCCAGTTCATCCGCAAGCTGGTCGGCTGCAACAGCGTCGGCCCGCTGCCGCAGCACTGCAAGCTGGTCAGTGAGAGCGGCCGCGTGGTCGGCCGTCGGCCGCTGCCGCCCGCGCTCCAGCCGCGTGTCGTCGCCGCCGCCTCCGGTGTGCGCGTGCGATGGCGGGCGCGACCGGTGACGCCGGTGATGTGCGCGGCGTCCGGAGAGCAGCCCGTCGCCGACGGTGACGTCTGGCTGACGGTCTGGGGCTGGTGCCGGAGCCGGAGCCCGGTCACGCCGGCCCCAGGGTGCGGAGGCGTGATAGGGATGCGGGTGCGGCGTCTCTCCTGAGATGGCGCTGATGTCGTGACCTCTCCGCTCGCCAGAGTGCGGAGGCCGAGTCGATGGCGCTGATGTCGGTGCAGCTGGCTGCGCGCTTCCTCTTCACGGTGGGCCTGCACATGAAGAAGGCGGTGCGCGGCCCCACCTCGGAGTGGTACGAGGCGCTGCTGCCACACCTCACCCACTCGGCCCGCGCCCGCACGTGGCTCGCCCAGCACGTACTCTTCGTGAACGGCAACAGGTCAGCAGAAACTCGTGTGTGGATGGGTGGGGAGGGGGTGCGTACGTGCGTTTGTGCTTGGAGATTGTAACCGCGCTGTGTGGGGATGAGTCAGTCATGTTTACGGTGTTAATGATGTGGATCAAAGTTTTTGTGTCAGGGCCGTCGATATGGGGAAAAATAATTTGTCAAACATTGACACGATGACGCAATCCTTCGGGCGTGCAGTTGCCGAAGGAAATCAATCGGGGCGTGGGGTGTTGGCCGCCTGGATTGACGCGGCTGCGCCGTTTCAGCCGTTTCTGCGAGTACCTGCTGGAGTGTCCCAGCTCGGAGGTGCGTTCGACGTTCGCGAAGCTGCTGGTGCTGCTGGCGCGCTACTCGACGACCCAGCCGCCGCCATCGCCGCTGGCGCCGTCGGAAACCAACGGCCTCTGCTCCACAGGTGAGTCACGCGTCGAGCGGCCGCAGGGCGACGCGGCCAACTTGTGAGAGCAGGCGGCGGGCAGAGACTGCATTTGGTCTCGCCGCCTACTGATGGCGGCCGCGGGGCGACGCGGCCGCGGGATATGGGGATATGATATGACCGGCTCGTGAGAACAGGCGGTGGGCAGAGGATGCAGTGTGGTCTGGTCCAGTCGGGTCCGGTCTGTGCGACCGAGTCTGTCTGGCCGCCTGTAGATGGCGGCCGCGGGGCGACGCGGCCTACTCGTGAGAGCAGGCCGTGGGTAGAGACTGTGTTATGGTCTGGTCTGGTCTGGTCTCGTGTGGTCGGACCCGGTCCGGTGTGGTCCATGCGACTGAGCCTGTTCCCTCGCCTGCAGACGGCGGGCCGGAGGCGGCCGGCTCGCTCTCGGAGGCGGTCGTGCACGCCGTGCTCGGCCTGCTGAAGAAGGACGTGGCCGAGCACGGCCGTCACCTGCCGCAGTACTTCAGCTTCTTCCTCATGTACGCCGCCGTCGGCGTGCGGGAGCGCACGCATCTGCTCAAGGTACGACCGCGTCGGCGCCGTCGGTCGGCTTGGCCGGCGGCGGCGCGTTCGCTCGCTCGCTCGGTGGTCGCGGGGTGTCGGGATGACGTGGTGCGCACTCGTGGACTGACGCCCTGCCGGGAGGTGGAACCAGCTGATGCGACATCACTGCGCGCCAGAGGCGGCGCGTGGATGCCTGGTGACGTATGAAGGTCGATTGCAATCCCGAGCCGGCCGGCTGACGGTTGTCTCCGCGCTGCTCGTGTCGTGACGTGCTTTGCCCGTCCCGGTGCTGACGTCCCTATGCTCCTCTCCGCTGACAGTTGTCTCCGCGCTGCTCGTGTCGCGACGTGCAATGCCCGTCCCGGTGCTGACGTCCCTATGCTCCTCTCCGCTGACGGTTGTCTCCGCGCTGCTCGTGCCGTGACGTGCAATGCCCGTCCCGGTGCTGACGTCCCTATGCTCCTCTCCGCTGACGGTTGTCTCCGCGCTGCTCGTGTCGTGACGTGCAATGCCCGTCCCGGTGCTGACGTCCCTATGCTCCCCTCCGCTGACGGTTGTCTCCGCGCTGCTCGTGTCGTGACGTGCGATGTCCGTCCCGGTGCTGACGTCCCTATGCTCCGCTCCTATTGTTCCCATCCCAGTGCTCCCTCGGTGCTCGTTGTTCCCATCCGTTCCCGCGTGTTCACGCACATGAGCCTGGCCTGGTGCGTCTCGCTGAACGGGCAGTCTCGCGCAGGAGACAATGCAGCGGGGTTGTGCTGTGCAAGCAATGCGTGGGCTGCGCGTGGGTCTGCTGTAGGTCCCACGTCGTGAGCAGGTTGCCTCTTACCCCTCCCCCTCCCTCTCTCCCTCTCCCCCTCTCTCTCCTCTCCCTGTGCTGCTCCGAAATGGCGAGAGCAGGCCGAGCTTGTTCCAACCTGACCAAACCCAAGCCGCCCGTTCTGGGCAGGCGCTGTCCACCGGGCGTCTCCCGCGTCGTCGTCTGGTGCTGACGCTCTCCCCGTGTCCGCGCGCCGCAGCTGCAGATTCCGGCCACACTGATGCTGGTGGCGCTGGAGGAGGGCCCCGGGCCGCCCATCAAGTTCCAGTACGCCGACCTCAGCAAGCTGTACCAGACGGTGTCGCTGCTGGTGCGCTGCTGCGACATCAGCGCCAAGATGACCTCGTCGCAGGCGGTTAGTATCGCACAGCCCTCGTGCGCTGCAGGGACAGCCCTGGGGGGCTAAAGCAGCCCGCGAGCAGGGCGGAGGCTGGTGGCTTCCGCGCCGTCGGACCAGTGTGCTGTGCTTGCTGTGTAAGTTAGTTTTTTTCCGCACTTAGTCTGGGCACTAGCAAGCGCTTGATGCGACTCGAGCCCACCCAGCCACGGGTGGGTGGATCGGAAGACAGGCGCAGTTACCGACTTGTCCTCGGTAATCAACGCTGTGGCCGGTGTGAGGCAGTAACTAGCATGTCCGTCGAGTGTGAGGCAGTAACTGGCATGTCCGTCGAGTGCGAGGCGGTGACTGGCATGTCCTGCCGGCACTGGCGCTAGGGTGTGACCGTGACCGTACGCCAATCATCGCCAGGGTGCCGCGCCCCTGCCGAACCCTCACGGCGACCCGGACTGCCCGGAGCCAATCATGCCGATCCAGCCGCAGGTGGACGAGGTCCTGTTCACGCGCGCCAGGTCAGTGCCTCGGCGGCCGGCGGCCGGGTCGGACGGCGCGCCGACCTCGCCGCTCCGCGCGCCATTCGGCCGGGCTGGCAGTGGCTGCGTGGGGTACCATGTCGCGCTTTACCAAAGCCGCCGACTGTCGCGCTGGCCGACTTGCGTTCGCTGGTCTGGTGACTGCTGTAGCGCGGTCGGGTGCTGCGCTCTCGTCGTCGGGGGTGAGCGAGCGGCGACTCCCGCCAGCTGACGTCCGGCCGCGCCGCTTGGTCCGCAGCTACCTGAAGAAGATCATCGAGGACGCTGGCAATGTGGAGGAGACGGGACACCTTCTGCGCTACTGCAGCTGGGAGAACCCCACATTCTCCAGCATGGTGCTGACGGAGCTGCTCTGGCAGATTTCCTACAGCTACAACTACGAGCTGCGCCCCTACCTGGACCTGCTGCTGCAGGTGCTGCTCATTGAGGACAGCTGGCAGCCGCAGCGCATCCTCAACGCGCTCAAGGTGAGGCGGCCGTCACCGAAGCAGCCGTCGCCGGCTCAGGCTGGGCCCGGTCTCGGGCGTCCCTGGGGCCCGGGCGCTGGATTTCGGCAGCGTTGGCGCGCTTCAGTCATGCCGAACACGCGGCGTTGGGGTTGGTGACAGTGGGTGCTCTAGCTGCCGTACCTCCCAGCTAACCTCGTTGACACCGCTTAATGGTCGTGAGGCGGTCGTCAGGGCCAGCCGATGCGCGTCGCCCCGGTCCTGTTGATGGAGTGGAGGCTGCACAACGCTCCGAGCGCGCCTCGTGCGACGCAGCACCCCCGGTCGGCGCTCGCTGGCTGTGACCGTCGGCCGCGCGACCAGCCAGCCCGCCGCCGCGTGCCTGGACGCCCCAGCGGTGTGTTGCCGCTTCCTTCGCCCGAGCCGGCCCGTGACGCGACCGCCCCGTGCGCGCAGGGCACCCCGGACGAGCGAGACGGCCGGGAGGGCCTATTTGACACGATCCAGCGCTTCAAGAACCACTACCAGAAGCGCGCCTACCAGTGCATCAAGTGCCTGGTGGAGCTGTTCTCGCGCTGCCCGGCCGGCCACCGCGTGCTGCAGACCAGCGTCGAGTTCCGACGCAAGTGGTACGAGGCGGTCGACTGGCTCAAGGAGGAGCTGGACCGGGTGAGTGTCGCGCGAGGCTTCGGCGCCGGCCGCGGAGGAGGAGGAGCTGGAGGGACGCCGGGCGGTGTGCGGCCGCGGTCGCTTTCGGGACGTCACACCTGGCAACCAGTCAGCTCGTGCGCGCTGTCGTGTCGGTGCAGGTCGTGTGTCGCGCTTGTGTTGTGATTCTCCGGCACTCGGGTAGGCTGCCGGCAGCAGCCGCCGTCCTCTCTCGACTCTGGCCGCCGTGTCCGCCCCATCCAGGCGGCCATATTTGCCTGACCGCGGCCTGTGCGCCTGCCCAACGTCGTTATCTGTGTCCAAATAGTCCTGAATACCTTGTGCACTAAGCCCTACCGCTGCGTCCGTCCAACCCTGATCGCTGTGTCCGACCAACCTGGCCTGTTGTGTAAGACCAACCTGGACCGTTGTGTCCGACCAAGCTGGCCCGTTGTGTCCGACCAACCTGGACCGTTGTGTCCGGCCAACCTGGCCCGTTGTGTCCGACCAACCTGGACCGTTATGTCCGACCAACCTGGCCCGTTGTGTCCGACTAACCTGGCCCGTTGCGTCCGACCAATCTGGACCGCTGTTTCCGTCCAACCTTGACCGCTATGTCCATCTGACCCCGTGCGCTGTATCCGTCTGACCCCGACGTCGGCCCGCCCACAGCGGCCTTTCCAGTCGACGCCGCAGTACAGCTATACATGGTCGCCGCCCACGCAGAGCAACGAGACGTCCAACGGCTACTTCCTGGAGCGCAGCCAGTCGGCGCTCATGTGTCTGGAGAAGGCGGACGAGCTGTGCCCGGAGGAGGTGAGCGCCTGCCGCTGACGGGGCGCGGCGGACAGCCCGCGCCGTGGCGCCGCTCGGTTGACACACTGCTAACGGCGGCTGGTGGCCGGCTGCACACCGGCGGTTGGCTCCGCACTCGGTGGGGGTAGTGCCGGCGCCGCGGCGGGTGGCGCCTGATGCTGGGTGTGTGCGGCCGCTGCGCCGGGCCGTGGGAGCTGGCCGAGGCGTTTGGGCCGGCGCCCGACCTGACCTGATGTGACCTGACCCGACCCGCGCCTGTTCCGTCGGCCAGCCGGAGCCGGAGGAGCCGGAGGACGAGTCTCAGCGGCAGGTGGGCGGCGAGCCCGAACCGGCGGTCGCACCGCCCGCCGCGCAACCGCAGCCACCGCCGCCGCCGCCGCCGCCCGCGCAGCCGCCGCCGCAGCAGCTGCAGCAGCCGCAGCAGCAGCCGCAGCCGCCGCAGCAGCCGCAGCCCCAGCAGAAGCCCACCAGGTAGGCGCCGGTCGGCAGCGTCCCCTGTGGGTCCGGGATTGGAGCCCTGCTTGCCGCAGAAGAAGGGGGAGGGGGGGGGGCAGGAGGGCTTGGGGAGAGGGAAGAGGGGACCCTCGGCGTTCCGGGGACGCGGCAAGTCAGGTTGTTGTGCAGACGTTAATGTGTGTATTTCGGCTACTTACGGCACGTGTATGTAATGAATAAGCATAACGTCTAAGATACGAACCAGGAAAGGTGGCTAGCTCGGAGTGAGCAGCCTTCTAGGTTTATCACAACGGCATAGATTGATGATGCATGGCGATGACATCGGCGGCAAATCCGCGATCATTCAGCTCTGACCAGCCGTTGTGCTGGAAGGTTTACACATGATTACGAATTCGTGTCACAGGTATTAGTGCTGTGGAGATGGCCGGCCGTGATGTTGTCCAATTGGGCCGTTATCTGACGGCCCGTTGCCCCGGTGTGACTGCCTGCTGTCCCCGGCATTTGGCGATCTGTTTCCTGTATCTAGCGACCTGTGGTCTCCTGTATCTGACGGCCTGTTCGTCTGACGGCCGGTATCGTCTTCTGTATCTGGCGGCCTGTTGTCTCATTTATCTGACGATCTGTCGTCTCCTGTGTATGACGACCTGTTGTCTCCTGTATCTGGGGGCCTGTTGTCTCATTTATCTGACGATCTGTCGTCTCCTGTGTATGACGACCTGTTGTTCCTGTATCTGGCGGCCTGTTGTCTCATTTATCTGACGATCTGTCGTCTCCTGTATCTGGTGTCCCGGTGTCTCCTGTATCTGACGATCTGTTGTCTCCCGTATCTGGTGGCTTCTGTATCTGATGGCCTGTTGTCTCCTGTATCTGACAGCCGATTGTCTCCTGTATCTGGCAGCGGATTGTCTCCTGTATCTGGCGACCTGTTGTCTCTTCTATCTGGCGACTTGTCTCGTGTATCTGGCAGCCTGTTGTCACCTGCATGTGACGACATGTTGTCTCCTATATCTGATAACCTATTGTCTCATGTATCTGATGGCCTGTTGTCTTGTGTATGTGGCAGCCTGTTGTCTCCTGTATGTGATGACCTGTGGTCTCCCATATGTGATGACCTGTTGTCTCATGTATCTGACAGCATGTTATCTCATGTATCTGGCAGCCGTTGTCCCCTGTATGTGACGACCTGTTGTCTCCTGTATATGATGACCTATTGTCTCCTATATGTGATGACCTGTTGTCTCATGTATCTGACGGCATGTTGTCTCGTGTACCTGGCGGGCTGTTGTCTGCGGCATCTGACGACCTGTTTCCCTGTTCCAGCTACAAGCAGCCGGATGCCAACGACAACTGACGACACGCGCCCGCTATCAACTCGCAGGCATTAACGTGACTCGGCCGCGGCCCCACGCGCCTGTCTCTCCTTTCTTTCCACGCCACCCGCCCCGGTCCGTCTGTCTCTCTGTCGCTGTGTGTGTGGGGCCCGGTCGTCGCGAAGCGTTACTGTGATTTATGCCTTACTACCGAACGGCGCAGTCCTGGCACCTTGTGGACAGTTTTGTAAGTCGTGCTTCGCTCCCGGACCGCGCGGTGCCGTGTCGATCGCTTCTAGTCCACGCGCGGTAGGATAAGGTGTGAGCGCGTCGAACAGTTACTATTTATCAGTGGTTTTATTGCGACTGGAGTAATATATTAGCCGTGTTGTTTGCCTGCAATATGGCGCAAACGGTGCTGTGAGGGTACACGGCGACCACGCGGCGAAGATACCGAGAGTGGGAGTGAGAGGAGAGGAGTCACGCGCTGGCCCGCCTGACCGGGCGGCGACCGGCCCGTGCCGCTCAGACCGATGAGACACTGCTGCGACACGTGGTATTATGATAAATATCGTAGTTATACTTCTGTTGTTTAAGCCGGTACCCGGGAGATTCCGCGCGCTGCGGGACGGCGGCCTCAGCAGGAAACTTTGTTTGCGAAAGCAGCCGCAATGTGGCGTTAGTGTCTCACGGTGGTCGCTTGTCTGTCGAGTTTTCTAAGCATTATTTTCAATGAGTGAAAATGCTGTTCTAAATGAAAATAAAGTCTGTGTTATTTAGTCGAACTTGACGGAGCGAAATTATTGAAAGGCGTTGCATACGGTCAGTGGTGGAACTTGTCAAAACGGTTGCGGGACAGTTAGAATTTGGAAACGACCTATACAGTACATTGGCCACATGTTGCGGTTTGGAAACATAAATGGTGCGTAGACCCTCTGAACATGAAGTTCCACCCATGCATGCCTCTTCAGTCTTGTAAAGTCAAATGGAGTTCGATACTGTACTGTCGTCGGACCATGTGGATGCTGCGTCTCGCTATGTGTGTGTGTGGGGGGGGGGGGGGGGGGCTGCGGTTGAATCGAATAGGCCACGCGCGCCGCCGCTGTTTTCTTGCACGCGCCATTACGTGTGCTGGCATTCTCTGCGTAGGCGTCGTAACATCGTTGATGTGACGTGCTTCGGCTTCAGTCATCCAGACAAAGCACCGGGAGCTGGGGTCTGGAGCACCTCTGTTACTCTGATGTGCGAAGGATATTGGTTGGCTTGACTCCCAGCCTGCGGGAAGAAAGCGCTAAGTTGGCACGTGAAGGATTTATGTCCTGGAGTCGTAAAATGTGAAAGTTATCGAATACCGGCAATCCTAACGCTCGCGTTGCTATGGTTGATTTCTGACTTCATTATAAATGTCCCCGAAATTGGTCTGGGTCCACGAAATTGATAGCGCAAGCGAGTTATCGAGTTTACCCACCTTGCGAGTTTCGCAATGGCATTCTTTGGACGCTGCGTGGGCCGGCCAGATTTGTCCTGTGTTCAGCTGGGTTGGGTTGCATGTTAGTCGGCTAGGACATCAGTCCCTTGCAGGTGTTATGTGGACACCTCGGGTTACTTGATCTGTGAGTTGATGACATCTTGGTCAAATTAGATCGCGTTTGATATTCCTTGTTACTGATTGCTTCGAGTATGACAGGAAGATTCGGTCGAGTAGGGAGGTTCAGCAGGGGTCATGGTTTCATTGATGTCTCCCCTGCGCGCTCCTGATAAGACCGACAGCAAAATTGACGCGGGGTCCATGCGTTTTCAGAGCTCTGAAAACGGTGGACGGCGGAAGCGTCAGGGACTGATAGGATTTTGAAGCCGATAGTAGCAGCTGGTCATAGAAAAGAACACCTTCGGAGCCAACAAATCTCGTCAACACGGGAACCATGGTCCCAAAGAGCTTCAGGGTATAGAATACCCTCACAGGGCATTCGACGTCTATGTATTTCAAAACGGCGGGGACGTGAATTAAAGGGTCCGAACACCAGGGCTGATGAGATGTGCTGCGCATTCCTCCCCATATGGCCCCGCGGGCCCTCCAGAGGTGTCACTTTCTAAGAGCGGTTGCAGGGGCGGGGGGGGGGGGGATCCGGCGATGGCTTCTTTGAAGTACGGTAACGTTTACAATTTGAGCCTTACGTACCTCCAAGACGTGATTTTACCCGGGAGCTCGGGCACTTAGATTTGCGTTTGGATGCTAAGGATATACATCTATTTCTAACAGATCGTCCCATAGAATATTGCTGTACGGGAGAAAAAGCTTCTCATTCCAATTCCATATGAAACTGCGGCTTTGTGGGAAGCTTAGAATTGAATGTAACTCAGAAAACATCTTAGTAAGATGACCCGATACTCACTCATACGCGGCTCACCGGAAATGTGTTTGATTTATCGTTCGTGGAAGGCGATCCGATGCGGAAAAAGACAATTTGTGCGAATTGGCGTGGCCTCACGCGTGCAGACAGCGGCGCAAAGTCCTATTCAGTTGAGCGGACTTCAGCTCTGCACTTGGGCTACAGCCCCCCCCCCCCCCGCCCCAGCAACTTTGGGGAGAATTTAGACCATGCAGAATGATTTCCGTTGGGAGACGAAGAATGTATTATGTGCAATGCCAAGAAATACACCTAAAAGTGAACCTTAAGCTGCTTAAGCTGCTGCTTAAACTTAACTGGTGACCGGACTGCTCACCAGAGTGGCAGCCTTAATACACGCCCGGGTGACCGGTTGAGCGCCCTTCGCTTCTCCCCCTGAGATTTCAAAAGCAAGAGTTAAGGCACTTAATTCATAAGGTAGATTAGCTTGTATGTGAGCACAATTTTGTCAAAATTTGAAAGTCCTAGGCGCTGAACTTCGTGCCAAATAAGGTCAAACAAGGTCGAACTGCAGATTGGAGCCTGAAGTGCCCTGGAGCTGCTCGTGCAGCCGCCTTGAACATAAACATATGTTCTAAGTAAAAGGTCACTGGCTTTCATCCTAGGTCAGCGACTTTGTTTGACCTTTGGAAGGTCACAGTCAAGCATTTTACGAGACTGCTGTATTTTTTGCACTTGAGCAAGCGTAAAGGATAATGCTAGGCGGTATGTTCCCCAAAAATGTGCTGACCTGGGTCATTTTAAGGCAGGGACCTACTCCGACCTTTTGAAAGCCCATGAAAAATGTATTTTGCGGTACCCGTTATCAAAACTTTGAAATGAGCACCAGACACTACCTCACACAGCAAGCTCTCGAGTAAAAAGCAGGCTGGTTTTGACCTCAGTCTGACCTTCATACCTGACCTTGGGGCGAAATAATATGTCGTTCAGCTGCTTGACGCCGCTGCGAAGCGGAGAGCGCAGGCACCATGTATATGCTCTTTACCAATATCGTTAGAGATCTTTACCAGGCGACCAAATATTTGCTGTACGGCATATGTCAGCACTCCTGGGATGCGACAACGAACAAAACCTCAGCGAGGACTGTAGCCATCTTGCTTCCGCGAGGTAAGGAGAGAGGATGTGATTCTCTGCAGACTGTGTATTGGCCATGGTATGCGACTCATAGCTATCTGCTGAGCCCGACTGGGAGGCATTTCTGCCATCGATGTGATGTGTATCTTACAGTACACCACTTGCCCAACTCGTGTCCGCACTTTACGGAGAAACGACTGCAACTGCTACTTGTGCGAAGTCCCATGGCGTAGTCTAGGGGATATTTTGGGGTTATTTTCCTGGAAGTCGCGTCGGTCACTTAGGGCATCAAAATAGTACTACAAGCCTAAAATGGCCTCCGACTTAAACAAGACGCTAAGCGATGAAGACGGCTCCTTGACTTGACTGTAAGGGCGCCCTGTGACGCGATTTCGCCCTTCTTGTGCAAAACCCTGGCTACGCCATTGCACTGACGACGTCTCTCAATATCAGTGTGTTTGTAGGAAAATACGTCTGATCAACACTGATGCTTCGCGGAAATTTGTCAATGCAGTTGTCGAATGCACCAGCTGAAGAACCATACCATAGGTCAACGTTACGGCTTTGTAGAGAGAATTGGAAAAATGCTACTAATTGTGGTGAGTAGATGGTCTCCAGCTCGGATGCGGAGCCGTTTCACAACTTTCCAAGGCAAATGTGACGGGTTAGGAGATGGTCGGTTACGGTAGCGGCCTTACGAAAATCCAGAACAGAGACGCAAATGAAATCGATGTGTTCGTCGTGAACACAACTATGACTTTTCCTCGATGTGTTCTAATCCTTACCTAAAAGCCTCTGCACCGGTTGCAGCGTATATCAACCGCGTTTACGATCTACAATGCAGCACAGAGAAGCGGTTTATCCACTGCTGCAAACAATGTATTGAATCTTCAAAATGAACGGGACAAGCATGAGAGAATGCACGACCGAATCGAAACAAACGCGTGGCTGTTCTCGTGGTTCACAAACAGATGGACGTGTGACACATGCGCTGGTCGGTTTCGTGTTTGAGGATATCCCCATTGCATCGGCACGGTTGCCCACCTTTGCACAAAGGTTTCAAATCGCTATGCCTCATGCGGAGATTTTAGCCTTAACGTCAGAACATGCCACACAGACGAGAACACCGGGCTATTTGTAACAGTAAGCACGCAACATATAGTTGAATCTGTCTCAGAGGCCACACGTTACGTCTGTTGAGAAAGCAAACGGCACACTGTCGCAGTCCAGGCCCGGTGTGTCACCCCCTGCGCTCCTCTCGTGCAAGCCGGCAGCTCCTCCTGCCCACTAAGCGACCACTGGAATAGGGAGCCGATCGTGTCAGGGCGCACGGGATGCTAAAGGAGATGAGACACAATACCAGACCTCAAAGACACAAGAGCATAGTCGGCCATCATTCAAATGCAGGGGAATTGCAACACAATGTTGCTTGTGTCGAATTTTCTCTCGGGCAAGCATTGGCACGCACAGCCATGTTGGCTGACATTTCAGTTTTGGTGAATCTGAGAGATTCTAGCGAATCTGGCAGCACACAGCATACAAATCTGGACAATTATTGGAACGGCCCAGTCTGCAGAGAAAGGTGTGGGTATTTCGAGACAGAAAAGACGAAGCCACCTGTAAACAGTGGTGATATCACCCACAGACAACCTAGTATGAGGGGTGCCGCAGGCATGACGGGTGAGATGGCCGGTAGGTGGTACGTAGCGCTGTGATCTGGGTGGATGTGCGGACGGTGGTGGGAGGAGGGGGTGCACTCACGCGGTCCGCGTGGTCCGCGTGCGTTTGGGTCGTACGGCGCCGCCTCCTCCTCGGGCGTGGCCGGCCTGCTCGGCTCCTTCTCCACCAGGTTCTGCTGCGACTCGGTCAGCTGCTCGGACATCGTGTACGAGAAGAGCATCTTCTTGCGCAGCAGAGCCTTGCCGGAGATCAGGAGCCGGAACCGCTCCGAGCCCACGCCGCAGAACAGGAAGAAGATGATGCCGCCGGTGGAGTTAAGAACCTGCAGGTGGGATCACAGCACGGCCGTCGGCTCGGTCTAGCACCCCGCGACCACGTTTGTTACCTGACTGCGTGGTGGGGGGTCAGCTAGCACCGGCGGTCGTCTGCACTTTCCTGCCACCACGCGCTCAGGCGTAAGCAAGCGATGGGAGCTGACAAGCCCGCCCTCTCGCCCGCGCGCGCCTGCCGATATCTCTACGGACCATCCCTACCACGCAAACATCACCGGCGGACAGCAGACGCCCGCGGAAGCTGACCTGGAACAGCGGGTAGAAGCTGGGGATGCGGAGGCCCAGCTTGAGATAGGCTATTAGGCCGACTGTCCAGGTGACGACGAAGTAGAAGGAGAAGAAGGCGTAGCCCTTGCAGACCGTGAGCTGCTCGGCCACGATGTTCTCCTTTCTGAGGCGCGAAGCCTGCATGTTGCAGCTGACCAAGCATGTCATCAGGAAGGAGCCGGACATGATGACGATCATCGGCAGGAACATGGTCATCTTGACCTGGCGGCAGGCATGGGACGAGCGTCAGCCGCTGACCTCTGGGACCTGATGGGACGAGCGTCAGCCGCTGACCTCTGGGACCTCATGGGACGAGCGTCAGCCGCTGACCTCTGGGACCTGATGGGACGAGCGTTAGCCGCTGACCTCTGGGACCTGATGGGACGAGCGTCAGCCGCTGACCTCTGGGACCTCATGGGACGAGCGTCAGCCGCTGACCTCTGGGACCTCATGGGACGAGCGTCAGCCGCTGACCTCTGGGACCTGATGGGACGAGCGTTAGCCGCTGACCTCTGGGACCTGATGGGACGAGCGTTAGCCGCTGACCTCTGGGACCTCATTGGACGAGCGTCAGCCGCTGACCTCTGGGACCTGATGGGACGAGCGTTAGCCGCTGACCTCTGGGACCTCATGGGACGAGCGTCAGCCGCTGACCTCTGGGACCTCATGGGACGAGCGTCAGCCGCTGACCTCTGGGACCTGATGGGACGAGCGTTAGCCGCTGACCTCTGGGACCTCATGGGACGAGCGTCAGCCGCTGACCTCTGGGATCTCATGGGACGAGCGTCAGCCGCTGACCGTGGCTCTTGGCGGCGGCCACGGAGCCAGCTTCCGCGGTACGACATTGCGGGGCTAGACTCTGAGAGCATCTGATGCCAGTCCCGCCGTACTCCGACTGGTAGCAGTGCCAATGCTAATGCTGTATTTCTATTGGTGAGGCCCAGGTTGCGGAAGACTAACGCAAGCGCATTCGATCGCGTTTGGTTGTCTTTAGCCGCACGCATCAATGCTTTCCTCGTGCGTTAGTGTATTCGATTTTTGATCCGTTAAAGATGCCTGCCACCCGCTTTGTACTTTTCATTTATTGCAAGATTAGACGCGCATGATTTGATCACTAATGCCAGTTTTCTTGAAATCCTTCCAAACAGCTCATATTTCCATTTGGAGCAGCCGACGCTGCGGAAGAGATCCCATTTGACTCCATGCTCCCCACAACGAAAATGACATTTATCTTGCTTTGCTTTCTCACCTTGTGTGCTCTGTAATGTATGCAACACAAAGTGCCAAAATGTTTGTGTACGAAATGCTACGAAAGTCTGAAACACACTATTTAGACAAAAAGGCATGCGGCCATGAAGCTATCATTCCGCGGCTTTTAAGGCAACTTCACACCATACCTTAAATTTCTCCCCCATGCCGCTCACCACAGCAGCTCTTTTCGAGGCACGCTTTGACTTTGGGAATGGGAGTATCACATGATCCATGTGGGGGACTGGCTCAAACTTCAATCAGCCAACTTCTCGGTAGCAGGCCTTTGCCCGCCAGACCCATCACAAACGTTCTTTTATTCGCACCAGTGGAGATGCCACGGCGGTTGTAATGACAACAGCAGTCGAGACTGCAGGGAAGAATTATGGTGCGGATACAAAGCACTGACAGCGTAATTTGGACCAAATCATAAATGCATTTGGTACCCTGATTATGTCTTGACGGTCCTGCAGTGGCACTGCCTAGCGCCAGCATTGAACGTAACTGGGCCTGACATGTCACTGAAGTATGTTTTTGCAATATGCCCAAAGTTGGGACACTCAAACAAAGTTTTAGGGACACACACAAAGTTTGGGACACACAAAGTTTTAAGCAAAAAGTCACTGGTGTCAATATAAGGTCAGGGATCTTGATTGACCTCCAGAGGTCATTGGTAGCGAATCAAATCAAAGTCACGTCAACTTAGACGAGATCGTCTTGATTTTTGCATTGGAATAACCGCCAAGGGTTACGTTGGGCGGCATGTTCCTAAAAACAAAATATTGACCAGAATATGCCGTTTACGTCAGACGAGGCGTACACAGGTGCCTTCGGGCACGTCACCTGTCAGACGGGGTGTACACGGGCACCCCGGGGTATGACACACGTCAGACGGAGTGTGCACGGGTATCCCCGGGAACGGCACCCGTCAGACGCCGCGTACACAGGTACCTCCCGGCAGACAGGGTACCTCCAGGGTACCAGGGTACCTCCCGGCACAACGCCCGTCAGACAGGGTGTACACCGGTGCCCCCGGGCACGACACCCGTCAGAGGGAGTTTACACGGGCACCTCCGGGCACACACCTGTCCGGCGCGGCCCTCGCACCTACCTTGTCCGGCCAGCCGAGCATGCAGCGCGGATCGGTGCCGTAGTCGGTCAGGTACATGAGCATGGCGTAGCCGAGCGAGAGGAACGGCACACCTGGCGAGCAGGGGCGGACGCGAGGGTTAGTGGTCCAGTCAGCAGCGTCGCCCGGGACTGCCACCGACGGGCCAGCGAGCACGGGCGGGGAGGGCGTCATAACACTGGTGCGTCTCCAAACAGCCCCTTTGTGTCGCCCCTTGAATGGTCACGCGCAGCGGTGCAGCTAGGGTTTGCGACCGGGGGAAATGGGTGGGGCTCATCACACTCCGTAGTATCACAGGACCGGACTCATCACATTTCCAGCCCCACACAAGTATCCACGCATGGCGAATAGACAAAAGGCGTCACGGAAATTATGATAGGCATCAAAGATGCAACTTATTCCAAAATGTTAGATCGCACCCAAACCACACGACCCAGCCAGCAATGCAACCCGCAAAATTTCACTGGGCTGTGCTACAATACTGAGCCGGTATTAACCCGCAAGTTTTAAGTTAATTGCACGCCGTGGTATGCCATTTCTCCTTAATTTTACACCTATACATAGATTGAGCCTAAAATGGCGTGCCAATGTCATCTAATGCACACCACTGCTTGACTAATACCAGTGATGCTGCTCGGACAGCAGTGATCAAAATGCCTGGCGCATGAAATTTATATTTTACCAAAGTACATCTTCAGCACTGTGTTGATAATTTTTGATTACGATTAAGAAGAAAGAGGATGCAATTTAAAATGGTCTCTAAACAAAATTTCGGGACAGATTTCGTTCTTGTACTTAATTCAGTGACACACAGGCCAGGTCTTCTGAAGCTGCATGCATCGGCTGATGGCCTTGCACAGGCAAAGTGAAGAAATGCTGGATATTTTAAACTAAAGTTATGGAAAATCTCCTCAGTTCATTTCGCTGTGCACGGGTACAAACACCGTTTAAATGCGTCACAGTAACCGCATTGTCGTAGCATGTATTCAAGAACCAATCTCAGGTTTGTATATGGTGTTTGCTGTTCTTAAAAGTGTACGTTATGTAACAGCACGGGATAAATGCCACCCGACAGCCATGCCAGCTGTCAGGCTGTCATAAATTGTTATCATAAAAATATAAGCTAACATTTTTCATTTCTGTCATAAATTACAACAGGGTGAATTTTGACACCATTTCTCTCTTGCGACTACCCATGTTTCATTGCGCCACGGTTATCACCACACCGATTATGATGCTGCTTACAAGCAAGGAAAGCAATACAATTGCGCCCAGGAATGTTTGTCCTCCAAGTGAAACTCACGTTTAGCACAACCTCAAATTTGAAATATTGTCAAATGCTGAAGCAAAATTTCTACGTAACGAAAAATGGAACAAATTGCGCCTAGGATCTCCGTCCCACATTTCATAAAGCCTGCTGACTCTAACTTTTGAATCTGTATGGAACGTTTTATTGACGTCATATGTTTAACTGGAAATTTTGACACAGACCTGTATGCAGATACAGATATTGAAAGAGACGGAAAGGGCAAAAATAAAATTTTTAATGAGACATGTATGTTGAAAACTAATGACAATCAAAGTAATGGTAAAACGTATCATATTTAAGAATCCCTGCCATCGTGATCGTACCAAATGTCATGTTATCGAGGCATAAATAGCCAAACTCCATCTTACTATTTTCTATTTCGGCATCTGTTGCGCATGTAATAGACCAACCAATGGGGGCTGTTAGGCGTACAAGGCATCCTCGCTCGAGGGCCACAGAACCGGTTCGACACCACAGACCACGGCTCAGGACCCCCTCGAGGACTGCAGAGCACACAGACCAGTGCGTGTGGACCAGTGAGCACACAGACCAGCAGAGCACACAGACCAGTGAGCTGTGCGTGCGGACCGCGGCCAGATCACTCACCCCAGCCGAAGGCCACGTACGCTCTCAGCTTCCCACCGATGGCGCCGTTGGTGACGGACAGGAAGTCGGCCAGGCCCTCCATCAGCACCATTGTGCCCGCCAGCAGGTAGAAGAAGTGGATGGTGGCCGAGAAGCCGGTGCACGCGTGGCGGTCGGCGCGGATGGCCGGGATATCCGTCAGGCACATGAACACGGAGCCGATCAGCAGCCCGACGGCCGTATTCAGACGCATCATGTGGAACATCTCGTGCAGCTGCCTGTAGGAGAGGGGGTTGGCGACCGCGCCCCAGGTCAGCCGAGCTGCTTGTGCAGCTCCGTGGACAGCTCTCTTGCTGTCAGACGTGAGAGGATTCAGCGTGGGCTAAAGGTACGTCTTTGGTTGCACCCGGGAGGCATTGGGCACGTAGTCGTGCTGTTATTGGCATCCGTTGTCGTTCCACAGTATCTTGCCTTTCGCGTCTCGTTTTACCTGTGAATCCTGCAGTTTGGTATGGCGCATTTTGGTATGACTCCGCAACCGAGTCATGTTGGTATTGCCAGTGATTTACAAACCGCATTTAGAGACGATCATTGCACCCGACGGGGTGGGGGGGGGGGGGGGGGGGGGGGCAGCAACAACGACCTCACACCATCCCTTACTTGAACTTGACGACAGTGACGATGAAGACCACCAGCAAGATGGCTGAGATGCTGTAGCACACGTACTTGGTGATTTTCAGCCACTCGTACTCCAGGTCTACGATCTTCGGCGGTACCTGAGAACGAACACGGCGGTACCTGAGCGGGGGTACCTGAGCGGTGGTACCTGACGCCCCCGTGAGGATTTGGGACGGTGGGAGATGAACAGTGGAGGAGAGACGATGGAAGAGGGACGATGGATGGACCTGGTATAATCTCAGGAGGCTGGGACGCACTGGTTTCGACGAAAGAACGCCGTTATTGCCAACGCACCGATCGTCAGCGCCAAAAAGTGTTCCCTTTTCCGTACTATACCAGATGACATTCTTAAGCATTTGGCATTCGCATTCTCCCCCTCCACTGACCCTGCCCGACATTACTGACGTACTAGACGGACTCACGTGTGGATGTTGTGTGCCATAGTTATAGCCGATTCAGATAAAGTTGATGCACCCGTACTATTAACTCCAGCCTGGCTGTTACTTGAGGGGTACAAACACCATGTGTGCGTCTTCCGGCCTGAGTATCTAACAACAGAAGCTTTTGAGTTTGTTTCATAGCCAGGCACCTGCGTGAGGGACTCGGGATGGTGCAAATGTCTTCCAGCTTATGTCCAACCAGCGCTCACTCAATGGCTCGTGCACACATTTTGCCCGCCGGTGCCGTACCAGGGCTATCGATCTGTGTAGCTCGTCACCTACCTTTTCTTGCATAATGGCGAACTGGCCGAAGTG